TACCTCTGAATAATAAAACTACAGGGTAAATTCGATCAAAAGATCCTTATACATGCCATGTCTTGGACATACAATTTTAATTTAAAAATTACTATCTACCAATGCATTTTACATGAATGATGTTAACTCATGTTAGTTCCGACTATTTTAGTTTTTTGTTTTCAGAAATAATATTGATTATGCTTTACACAGAGAAAAAAACTGTAACGTTTTTCAGTTCCAGCAGTAAAAAATAACGATCAATTTAATATTAGTACATAAAATAGGGAGTTTGAGCCAATCTAGCGATTCGTTCAGATTGGATTGCGACATTATTTTGCAACATAATATACAATATGCACATATCGACGCTGGAAAGCAAAATTGTTCTTCAGAGCAGAAAACTTTTATATTTTTCGATAAATAATTCCTATAAACGTCCATGGTAACAAATAACGTGTTCCTTAGTCGATTTCTACGGAAAAAATATTATTTTTTTGGAAAAATATAAAGATATTCCACTCTAAAAATCCATTTTGATTTTGCAGGTTACTACGTGTTTGCTTCCCAGCGTCGATACAGAGAATGTTATATGGTGATTTTATATAAACGTTCAATTTTTTTCAAAAATTTCATGATGCTCTATTATGATCCAATATGTATCAATGAATGTATTTTTATTTCTGGATTAAATTCATATTTCAGTATAATGTTGTACAGTATAATTTTGTTCTTATATAGATTTATGATAAATCTAACATAATTTTCACGAAGCAATTAAATATTGTTATTCATAATCAAATATAAAGAACAATAAATATAAGGAACGATTTATTTAGATTTCTTTTTAATTTGCTGATAATTCGGTTTGAGTGTACATAACACGACAATGCGGAAAAGACTTGTATTGTTCATAGTTCTAATCTAACCCATAGTAGTATAAAATTGTTAAATGCAAAGTCAATAACGAAAAAACAATTTTGTTACAAATTTTCTGTCTTTTTCTCCTCAGTATCTAATTACCTACACTCCAACGGACAATTTGGTAGGTAACATTAAAGGGTGTCTAACATAGTTTTAGAATTACGATAAAGGTGGAAAATGCATAACGCTATATTATAAAAGTGTTTCTTAAAGCCTTACTCATAAACAAAATAAGCATTGTACTATTACTTTATGAGCATATCCAATAGTGATACTCCAGAATGACATCAACGAAACATTAAAATAAATAAATCTTTAATTTTCCAATTTGCGTAGTAAACGCGTTAACAGAAGTAGTTGCACAACTTAATCCGAAATCATGAGATTGTAGTAATGAAACATTAACACCAGTGTGACGTTTCAATATAAAATCGTAACAGTTCCTACTATATTTATTAGTAATTTTTCGTCAGTGGAAACTTAGAGTTTGGACACATCTTCAGTGTTTGGTCTATTAATGTAAACGATGCCTTTAAATTATTTATAAGTAAGGGCGGGTTTTCATTGTGCCAGTATTCTCGGACCTAGTAGTAGTTTTAAAATTTAAACGTATTCATTCGAAATAAACATTGGTTAATACTATTTAGCCATCAATCCGAAAGTACTCGCAAAATCCTAATCTTAAGAATATACAAAACGATTGCGACTATACGCATGGTGTATAAGGACAGTAGAAGCGTGTGTTTCTATGAGGTCGTGTGGTGGGGGGTGCGGCGTGATGGTGGCGGTTATAGTCGCGTCGTCAGCCGCAGTCTTGCCGCTGCAGCGCAACAGACACCTTGTACAAACTCTCCATCATGAATGACAGGTTTTGTGACAGCTCGTTCACGGGACGCGTGATCGCCACCATGTCTGCGTAATACAATGGATAAGATATTTTATTGTTACCAATAAAATGCAATTTTTTCGTTAACGAATTAAACTGATTTGTTATTTATTGATTAAAAAGTCCATCCAAACTAATAACGGAAGAAAGCCTATTCCTCCTCCTTCAGAATCACGTAATATGTCATCAATATAACAAATGCTAAGGTCAGGTAAGGTCATTTAAAAGTTTCCACGTTGTATATATGTATGTATATGTTGCGCTCAAAGCTCATTGCGAGCGAAAAAATAGTTCACAACGCGTTGTGGTCCCAGTAAAATATCGATATAGCGAAATTCGTATCGTGGCTGTCGTGCTATTGACCACAACGCGTTGTGGCAATGAAGAAATCCATGAAGCGTATTGAACCGTATTTGATTAGGTTAGTTACGCGTCGTGGTTTTTCTAAAAAGAAAAAGACGAACATGATGAAAGCGTCTAAAAGTGGTTTCATTTATGGATAGTGCGCTTGCAAATATAAGAAATCAATATATAGATATTGTTTAAAAATTCCTCCTATTTTTTACACTTTGTGAAAGTTTTGAAATTCAAACTAACAAAAAATAGCTACTTATATCTCCAGAGATTAACTATTGAGTAACTACTCAACTGGTTTAGTTTTAGACCTTCGGTTTTAGGAGTACCATGATATTATATATCAAATTACTTAACAATAAAATAATGAGATTATTAACAGTTTTGTTATTCTGTAAAATTACAGCGTTGAATAAAGTGTTGGCGCATTGGAGATTCAATCATATAAAATTTTAATTACATTTTTATATTGTGTTCGGCCATTTAATTTTTAATAGAATTTATAGATCTACATAAAATCTTTCGAAAGTATTTTTTATTTTTTGTTTCCGAAACTTAGTAGTTTTAGTAAAGGAACTGGTAAATCGACTATTGTTTATTTAATTTATATCCTAATATAGCAAATGACGGACTTAATGCCATACAGCATTCTCTCAGTGAGTCAACCAGTAAGGGTATCTATAGAAAGCACAATAATTATAACGATTACAAAGTGATGCAAGAAGATTATTATATAAAGCGTGTAAAACAACATGTGTGTTATTACCTGGATGCGCATGTGCAAGGTGTCTGCAGTAAACGTGAAGTAAGCTAGTGACGTCATCCTCGGGCAGCTCGCCTCGCTCCAGTATACGCTCCGCGTTACGCTCGCGCACTAACGCTAGTGCCGCGCTCCATCTGTACTCAAACGTTTAAGGAATTTATTTTATTTTTATTGTTCCGCATCTTAAACGGAAAAGCTCAATCGTTATATGAACAATCAGTTGGCAGTCCGTCCGTCATTTGTAGTGTTAGTTTCACTAGTTGTGTTTAACTGTTTCAAGTTCTATAATCCTTCACCATGTATATATACTAGTAATTATCCAGATATCTGTATCCGAAAAAAAGATCAGTTTCCGTCACTTTTGTCGCGGAACTTTTACCTTTTTAGTTTAAATTGATAGGATGAAGAAATGCTATATATAAATTATTAGGTAGAATCAAACTATTAAATTCCATTAGGAGTATTATTATATTTGCATTCATAATGCTATACTGAAAAATATTTTTAATGAAAAAGGTTTAAAAATCCACTTTGTCCCTGGTACTCTGAGATGGTACTTGAACCCATGACCTTTCGCAGTCGCCCAGAGTGCCTGGGACAAAGTAGATATTTTAAGCATTTTTCATTAAGAATATCCACGAGGAGCATTTTTTTTAAATTAAATTATTGGCACCTTTATTTTGAAAAAAAAAATCGTAACGTACCATACTAATAGTACATACCCCAAAGGTAATTTTTTAACTATTGTAGCAAAATCATACACAAACGTTATCTACGCAGCTCTATGTCACACAAATCCTACAAAACAAATGTAATACCCGTGAACAGCAAGCCGAAACGTGTCCTATGTCGTTGCGACGAGAGTGACGGTAAATAGAGTTTGTAGGTCTCTTTTGCCGACACCGATTGAGTAAGAAAACAAAGATCAAATATCCGTATTCGGATATGTATCCGCGGTCTAAATATCCGGCACATCACTAACACACACCTCTGCCGTTGCATCAGCAGCAGTAGTCTCGCGTCGTCGACTGGCGCGGGCGAGTGTGGTGGTTCCGCCCACGTGTCTCCAACGCACGCGACTAGTGCCGCACGAACAGACCACACACCGCCGCTCATCTCCACACCCTGCACGTAACATCATCCATACACTCGCTTAATATTTAAAAAAAACATTAAATAATAAAAATAAATTACGTGCTTTGTGACCAAATAGCCATAACGCCAATGCTACGAGTATATTTTAGATGAAATTTAAGAAATCAAGGCAGTATTGAATAATCTCAAGTTCTCACTTAATTAAATTAGTTCCATTCACACCGCGTACGACAGTGACCACGGATATATGTCATGATAATGATATGTGTACTGAGCAATACACACATATCAGTTGATCACAGTCGAGCGCGCAGTGAAACTAAGTGAAGCGAGATTTTGAGGATATTCAATCTTGCTATTACGTAATAAGCGATTGCGTATCAGGTGCAGCTCCGAACCAATGCTCCATTGATAAAGTCGAGCGATCAAACGAGGAAAAAATAAAGAAAGCAATAAAATATATAATTGTGGTTATTGCTAAGGAATAGACAAATCATGATATTAAATAAAAAATAATAATAAAGAATTTAAATTATTTCCAAAATCCAATAATTATATGCAGGTTATGACGATATACCCTTGTAACGATGCGTCATACCACACCGTTTATTTTGTCCTAGGTTTCCGCATGCAAACTTTTTGTCTTTGATTTTTAACATCGTTTCTTCTTAATTATTCATTTTTCGTAATTTCAAATTTAGTGTAACGCGATATGTTCCTTCTGAATTTCAGTTCGTTAAAAATTCCTACGGTAACAACACGATCATCATTAAAAATAATAAAATATTTTTAATATGTATTTAATAAGTTTTATTTATAAAGTGTATGTGTAAAAAAATGCTTCTACTTTTTATCATATTTTTAGAAATTATAAATATGCTAACTTATTAAGCCTTGTTAGCCGTTTAATGACATATAATATATTTGTCAGTTGTGACATTATACAACCGACGATTTGGAATAAATTTCCGTTTGAATTTGGAAACCTTCAGTGCAAAACATTTCTACTACTCTATTAATTAGCACTTACATTTTAAAATCTAGAACTTTAAAAATAAACGCATACCCTGTTGTCGAGGGCTGCATGGTAGACGGCAACGACCATTTTGTTATTGGTTTCCAGCAGTAACAGCAGTTGGAAGATCAGCTTGTAGAGACATCGCGCCGTTTCCTCGCCGCCTACTGCGCCCGCGCATCCACTGCGTGCTAGTTCTAACGTCTACCAAAAAAAAATTCTGATGAGTAGTGGATAACACAGTGTTCACAAACAAATATTCAATTCAAATCCACGCGTTCTATATCATCTACAGTAATAATGCCAGTGTTAAGACTTGAATAAAGAAATATATCAGGGTCAAACTTAGAAATTCTGTAAAACACAGATCACTAGCAGCCTGTGTTACAAAAGTCATTTCTGATGAATATTTTCTTAGCGTTATTATTTCGTTGTACACTATTTCATGTGAAATAATGTGATTACAGATTAACCTAATATTTTGAATTATGACTATGAAACTTATTTGTTTTCTTTTTATATCCTAACGAGTCTTTACTTCTACCTACTACTATTAATAGGTATAAAATACTAAACAGATTTTATACGAGTACAATAATTTTAAATAAATGACATCTAAGTTTTAAATTGAACAGTTTGTGAGTATAACGTAACATAATCTACCTCTAGCGCATGTTCCCGCCTGTCGAAGTACGTCTCGAGGTGTTCGTTGACCTCTAGCGCGGCGTATCGCACCGCGTCCCTGACCCGTGGCGAGTCGGCGGCGGCGGCGCCGGCCCACAGTAACGGCGGCTCCTCGCCCGCGAGCCGCTCCACCACGCCGGATAGCTCCGCCGCACCGGTCACGCCGCCGGGCAGGCAGGACACGCCCTCGCCGCACAATAACACAGTCTTACCCATCACCTCCTGAACAGCGACCGTTCAATAGGATATAATATAATTAAAATCAAATCGAAATATTTATTGCGTGTCACACGACAAACAATGAGATATAATTTTTAGGTATACATGTGACGCCCTACAAGCGTATTGCATATGTAGAGGAGAGCTTTGTCAAAGTGAAAATATAATATTAACAACAATTTAAAATTAAAAACATCTAATAATTTAGTTATTCATTTTAATATAATTAAATTAAATTCCATAAGATAAAATTGTGTTGAATAAATATTCTTAATGAAGGACGACCAAAGATTGTAAAATTTAAATTTGCTTGTCACAGTTGTCTTCAAAAATTCTTTTATTTTATAGTATTTCTTAATAAGATTTGATTTTAATTTTGTATTTTTGCGATTTGGTATATGGTTATATATTTTCATTAACATTGAATGGGGCTGGATGTAACGAAATGCATTTTAGAGAAGGGTACTTTTAGCTTGTTTGAATTTCTATTGTTTCGTTTGTTGTTTAATTGGGGCAAATAGAATTCCCGCAAATAGTGAGAAGTAAGTCGCGACATTAGACAACGTCTTTATTTACATAGTAATAAACATAGAGACTCTGATTTTAAGTCTTAAAATAGCACGATTATCATATTAATTTAATGTTAGTTAAAAATAATAATTTTTTGTCTGTGTGTCACGTGACATGAAACACGACCCGCCATTGTGTGATGTCACTGTGGCGACAGCTGTCAGATTAGTCGTATAGATTATGCGTATTACTTATAAATCAAATACTTGGATGGAGGTGTTGTTTGCGATTGTTACTGTTAAGGTTTGTTGTTATAGTTCACTAAAATATCGACTGCTATTATGATTTTCGCAAGTAAAGGTAACCTGATGTCTAAATAAATCTAATTTTTCTCATTTCATTATTGCTTTTGTCTTCGTTTTAAAAAAATGTCCTTTCCGTTTGTTGTGTCGTTATCGCAAAGTAATTATCATATTTTTCATATTTATTTTTAATTCCCATACACCTCAATATTAACATATAAATTGATCTTTCTGAAAATTCATGCTAAAAGTAATTAAGTTTTAATAAAAAAAATTTGGCGGCGAAATATTTATATAAAAATTTGGCGGCTTGGTGATTTAAACCAATTACTAACTTTGGTACTTTATAATAAGATAGTGTAACTATATTTACTTAGTTTTTTCGTGTCAAGTTTACACAGATGGCCTGAAGTTGGTTGTAAAGGGCTCAAGTACCGAAAAACGCAAAATGGTCAAACCCTCAACAAGATGGACCGCAATCTGAACTTTAACTTCAACTTATACAATAATGGTATCTCATTGGCGATTCAACTAATTGCTTTTGGTCATTGTATTATCTGATTCTGGATAAATTAAATAAAATGTGATCTAGTAACAAGAAGTGTATAATGCGAATCGAGTGCTGTTTTACTCGAGTCACTCGAGTGAATATCAGAGTTAGTGTAAGTAAAAATATAGCGATATGATAGGAAGAAACGGAACAATGACAACCTGATGACGAGCCCAACGCCTCACATGTTTACAAACTTTGTACAGACACAGATGCCATGCACAAATGCATATGCCACTTGTATTTATTTGTGAATTAGTTCTTTCATCTCAACGATTATGTGGAATATCTTCTTAAATAATTTCATATATTATGTCAGCAAATAATCCACTAAATATATACTTTTATCTAATATTTAATCCAAGTTCATTGTATTCATCAAATGGATTAACTAGCGTATTAAATAATTATTCATAAATATTTCTAAAGTTCTCTAAAGCTTGATGTTGTAGTACTAAGAGATCACTAATACCTAGTGCGGGGTGAGGCGATAATGTTGTTGATGTTGATTTTTAATAGTTTAAAATCGCCATTAATTACGTTTGAAGTAATTAGGCTTTCAACCGTCGCTTGATATTGATACGTGAAACAAAAACTTTGGACCTCATTTTACGTCCATTGCGTAGACGGAGAACTATTCGTATGTTGCACAATTAACTCGAAAACAAATATCATAATAAAAATTTATTAAATCTTTAATATTGTTTGATTTGACTTTGAAATCGATTATCCGATTATATGTAACACCGTATTGATGGTCGGTATTCTAACGCAGTTTTTCCAGCCCTAACATAATAGTACCTTGAGCGCGGTATGCATTCGATGCACTAGCGCTAGAGGCGGCAACAGTGCCGCTTGTCTCAACAGTCCCGCTACAGACGCACGCCAGGCGTCGCGCATGGCGGGCGCGGCGCCAGGTACCGGAGTGATGTCACCACGATCACCTGTACCGAACCATCAACCATAATACGATTATAGTTTCTATACAGATATAAACTATAACTTTTGGCGACTGTAAAGGTACACTTATTAAAAGTATATTCGTCACGATACGGTGGAGGTAAATTTGAACGTCATGAAATTAAAAGGTCGATTTCCCACAGTGATCATTATTTTTAAATATACGCAGACTACGACATTATGAAGTATGTAAACTCCATTAGAAGAGTCAACATTGGCGATAATGTGATTCATAGAAACTTTCTTCGAAACTGATAACCTATTTTCTTGGCTGACCGTACATACACGTATTTTTCGCAGTGAAAATGTTAAATTGTAAACGAGTACGATATATTCATATACGGAAGTGTGTAGAGTGCGGTGAAAAAAGCGGTCTATACTAAAGTAACATTTATACATTTATCGATTTAATAACCGAAATCGAAAAAACTTTATAAAATTACAGTTCCGTGATTCAAGTTGGTAAAATATAAAAACAAAAGGCTTTAGGTGAAAAGTATCCTTTGCTGAAAAACCAAAAAAAAAACCAAATTACATAAATAAATATAAATTAACATCTAATTGAATCAAACGCTGTGTATACGGCGGTTTCGAGACACAATTTTGTATTTAACGCTATTGCGGGACAGAAAAATATAAAAGATAACAGTCGGCAGTTAACAGCTAATACTTATGTAATAATACCAAAGAAATGTTTGGCCTTATAATTACATCAACATCATGAATACAAACAAACAATAAAAAAGATCTTTCGACAAGTAAGGAAGCCTAGCAGTAGTAAAAACATGTATTTATATAATATTATAGCATAAGGTTACCATCTTGTTCACCGCTGGAAGCGCTCGAGAAGGAATGTGTGCGCGCGCGCAACGTCAGATCGTGCGGAGCGCCCGCATCCCCTTCTCCTCGCGTACCCGTCCCCCCCTCCTCCCAACCACCCTCCTCGTCAGATGAGTCTTCATGTCCACTCTGTATAGCACATTCATTATATTATCATTCATATCTTCCGTACGTGAAATTTTTAAGTTCACAGTAAATCCCAGATTTAATGGTGGCAATTCTTTCGCACTAACTAGATTCATTATACTTTTGATCCAGTCAACTTGCTTTTTTGAATTCTGTAAATAGCTCGGATGTCAGAAATAAACTAATAATAATTTGTAGTATACAGCATAATTATATTTCATATGTGATGTAATGATTACCCGAATGTTTTCATTCTCGTAATTCGTATTTACAGTTTGCAACAGTTTGCATTACTCAAAAACAAAAGAAAGTAAACTTTATACAGATAGTAATAAAAACCTGCTTAGGATGTAAATCAGGAGGGCGTGGGCGTTGCGGGGGCGGGCTACGTTCAGGTGCAATGCCCTCGTCACGTTCTTCACTCAATAGTCTTCGTCGCACGCCCCAATTAAAGTTGTCTGAACTTTCTCCCTAAACAAAATCACATTAAAACATAAATTATGTAGCTACATGTGTCTTATTTTTTATATATTTTAATATGGTATTATCAGATCCCTTGCGAAGTAGACAAGAGAGAAGTGAGCGTCACAAGGCATGTACTTTAAATCGTCTTTCGCCTATGGCTTCTGACTTTACTCTCCAATCAATTTGATCGTGATAGGCGAGTAGCTCGGTGGCGTAGTGGATTAGCGCCACGGCCCGTGATCGTAGTCGTTAAGCAATTTTCGCAAGGGTCGGTCACGGGATGGGTGACCAAAAAATTATTATCTCGAGCTACTCCGTGCTTCGGAAGGCACGTTAAGCCGTTGGTCCCGGCTGCATTTGCAGTCGTTAATACCCTTCAATCCGCATTGGGCTAGCGTGGAGGGTCATAGCCCATCCTCCTTAACCATCCTTAAGGAAGGCCTGAGCCCCTGCAGTGGGGACGAAAAGGGCTGATGATGAGGCGTATCTTGCCCGCCTTCTACACGATTCAACTATACTAGTTATCAATATAATATCTACCATATTTAAAAATCTTACACTATCATTTTTTATTAAAAACTAACAGTACTCTTTTATACATTAAATTACACAGTATTATTATCAAATTTTTACCTCTATGCTTTCGCTCTCATACTCCAGGAAATCAAAATCTTTGAATACTCCGAAGTGATCAGTGGGCGGTGCCGCGGTAGGAAGCTCGTTGCCCGGTGTGCCTGAAACCTCCTCCAGTGATGACGCCATCGATGACTCGCGCTCCAACAACTCGGAACTTTGACTGAAGATCACCTAAGACATAACACAATACACACTCAGATACTGCTACTCTACTACGACAGTTAGAGGCTGAGGAAGACGGGCGTGGACCCGTGTTTTTCGTTAAATATTAGGATTATTAAGGACTGTTTCACATATATTTGTTTCTGGGGTAGTGAGGGGTGCGGCGTTCGTCAAAGGTGTGGTAATAGAAACTTTAAGAAGGCGCATAAAATTAAATCATTAATATTATATTGACTGTAAAGAAATAAAGTATAAATAGACTGTTATAAAATGAGAAATCTAAGTGAAGTAACTGAGTATCAAAAACTTACAATATTAAAGTTACCTCTAAAATTCCCGCGTCTATATTCATATTTGATAGTGAAAATTGATTTTGGAGGCCTGACATGAAATGACAAAGATCAAACATAAGATGTATTTAGAGCAATACCTCCTTGTCTTAATGATATAATAAAATACAATGGTCGCAATTACCGCCTATTACATTCGGCGGTGTGAGATTATCATATAGTGACTATGTTAAAAATCTAGGAGTGCTTCTTGACAAGAATCTCTCCTGGGCACCACACATTCAAGAAGTAAGTTGCAAACTGTTTGCTTCGGCGGCGTCCATAAGGAGACTTAGGAATATTTTACCTATTGCTACTAAAATCGCGCTAGCACAGTCTCTCCTCTTAACAATTTTAGATTATGCCGACGTCAGCTATCTTGATCTTACTGAAGAGCAACTAAATAAACTTGAGCGACTTCAGTACTTCGCAATAAGATTCATATTTGGATTACGTAAATATGATCATGTATCAAAATATCGTCAAGAGCTCAAATGGTTGCCTATTCGACTTCGCCGGAATGCTCACATACTTTCTTTGCTATATAATGTCCTATATAATCCTGCTTCTCCTGCTTATTTTAAAAAGCGTTTCAAATTTCTTTCTGACACCCACTCCCGTCTCTTGAGATCATTGGGAAACCCGAGACTCGCAATGCCTATGCATTCTTCTAGAGTGTTTGACAGGTCCTTTACTGTACACGCCGTTCGTCTGTGGAACGAGTTGCCGGTTGCTGCGAGGCGTGCTCAGTCATTAAATGTTTTTAAAAATTTTGTTACACAATATTATCTCTCACGTGCTGTACATCCAAATAATATTTATTGTAGATAATAATATTTAATTTCTTAAAACTAAATTTTTGTACTTGTGTGTGTGTGAATTAATTGCATTGTATATCTATTCATATATATATAGTACTAGCTTTCGCCAGCGGCTTCGCCTGCGTGGTTCCTAGAGAAATGTTTAGCGGGATAAAAAGTATCCTATTGTCTAAGTCAGCTAATACCCTATATGTATATCAAATTTCATCAAAATCCATTTAGTAGTTTCGGCGTGATTGACGTACAAACATCCAAACAGAAACTTTCTCATTCATAATATTAATTAATAATTAATATTAATAGGATACTTTTCCTCAAATGCACTGCCCTAAATTGTTCTCTGTATCTAATTTCCTTTTTGTGGTTGCCTGGAAGAGATCGCTTTTAAGTGATAAGGCCGCCCTTTGCTTTGGTCTTGATCTTTGTGATCTTGTATGTTCTATTGTTGTGCAATAAATTTTATTATTATTATTATTATTATTGTTATAAGTTACATTAAGACAAGGACCTATTGCTTTTTTTTTTATTGGCGTTACGTTTTAATCTAGTCATCTTTATGCGCATTCTTAATGATACTTTATACCTTATACAAACAAAAAAAAAAGAAACATCATAACATGTGATTGGTATACTCTAGTTGTCTAAATAACTACTTCCCCTCCTCTTTGCATTCAGTACTTATGAAGCGTAAAGACAGTTTACTTTTCGAAAGTTTTCAGAAATATTAACGATATTTTACATTTGCTCGTAAAGTTTATACCTAGCGTAATGACAGGGTCAAAAGTTATTTATAATTCCTACTTCTAAAACAGACTACAACTAGAATGTAATGGCCGGTGCATATCTGACGTAAGCTGCTTCGCGTAATTATCGGACGCGGAATGTCAGAAATTAGTCAAAACTGTAAAATAAATATATGATAATACATTTAATATTGTACATTCGAAGAGATATTCGTCGTGTACTAACATATATTTCGTGAGGTGCTTGACATCAGATTTGCACTGACCGCAAAAGGATTATTTTAGTTTCCTATGCCGTGTAATGTTTGGAATAATCTTGTTACTTTAATTTCGTTCATTTTAAGAATGAAAAAATTTGTTTGCTGCAGATTTTTTTTAAAATGAGTGATGAGATGAGATAATCTTTCGAAAAAATTATGAAGTGGAAGGTTCATTTGCATTATAAACTTAAATTATTTTCCATTATTTATACGCATTGCATATCTCTCTAAGTGTTAGTAGCGCGTTCATTTGGTATGTCACATGGTTGCAAAATATATTTTTATTATTTACCCCCAAAAAGTAACATAAAATGTAGGGCGGCATTATCTTTTGAGTTATTCTTGGTTGATATTCTTTCATAAAAGCGTAGTCCCCATATTTTTCATACTCTTCCTTCTAGCGCCTCCTCTATTTGGAGAACATTAAAACCTCTTTCTTTATTATCATGACGAGAGGCTGACACATTTCAAAATAAACGGTACTAAGCTTATTATTACCAATATAACAATTTTATGATATTAACAGACACATAAAATATGTGTGTTCATCAAGCAGTAATTTGCTATTGTAGTTTTAACCAAGTTCATAATCAAAATAAGTGAAAATGCTTGTGATTAGTTTTCAGGTACTCCTTCAGATTTATGCAATATTGGGCGTGCATCCACGTAGATTTTGTGAAATAAAAGTAATCAGTGATTGGTGTATGTAATTTGATGGAACTATTTTATATTACGATGCCGTGGTAAAGACGCCAGCACCGTATCTCAAATAATAAGGAACTAATAAAACTATATACATTTCGATATTAAGACGTTAAACAAACTCATTTACTCTACTTTTAATCGCGTTGGTGAAAACTACTAATATTATTAACTGTTGGTTAGTTATATAAATAATACGCTTAAATATTAAGTTATTTAGTGTTGGTCGTATTCTAATATTCAGTTCAAGTACATATACCCAGATGTCGGTGTAGTTACATAATGTATAGCCTACCGTTGGAACTGGTCCCATAGTGAAGTTGTCGAGCCAATTATGAGAAGCGACAAGCGAACGACGGCAATAGACGTAATGTGATCGCCTGTGTCCGTCCGTACTTGACACAAAGTATCATGAGCGCTATTATAGGTCGCTGACCCTACCCCGTATAATATAACACGCGGAAACGATACAGACGTTTATGGTTGCTATTCCTACAGTTTGCTTTAAACGCTTACATAGGACTTAATTTTTCAGTCGGGCTTAATTTATAGGGCGCTTGCGCACTACACTGAATTTTCAGGTCCGACGGTCTGATTTTTACATAGGCTACATTTTATCACGAAAAATAGGTGGAAATAAGGTATGAAAGTTTGCATGGAAATTAAGTAATCGAGTAACTAGCGATTAAAATATAAGAAACTAAATCAAACGATCTTCGTAAAGATGATGCGACATATATAAATAAGAATAAATAAATATATGATAACAGAAGTATTATAAAAGAAAAGAGTTTTGCTCAAAGAAATTATACCACGCATATAAAAGAAAAACTAGTAAGTATATATATAATGCAGCAAACTGATCTAACAATGAATCATGACATTTAAAACTTAGAAAAAAAAGATGGCCGATTTAAATGCCACTGTAAAGTTCATTTAACATATTAATTATCCGCTAACACGCCACTAATTTCGCTTTGTTTACAAAACGACATCAATGATTGGTCTATGTCTGTAATCATTTGAAGTTGTTTTAACAAAACTTCGTAGAAGATTTGCAGGATTATAAATTTGAACATCAAGTACGAGAACAAAGATATTTTTAGCTATTGTATGTGAATAATGCTGTTCCTAAATTAGTAAGGGTATAAGTTTTTACATCTGATAGTAGTAAAAAAAAAAATGTATTCGTCTTGCCCCTATTTATTATGGTTTATGTAAAATGACCCTGTCAGGTTATTATTTAGGTACATTTCACTTATAAAGGGGATGAACCCAATATTTTTTCTGTCTTCTACGTCTTCGCACGTAGAGTAATAAAGCAAGCAATTACCGAAGTTACAAAAATCTCATCGAACCTAGCGTTAGTGGCGTGCAGCTTCAAAAAGAGCTACCCTAAACTGCGCCGCTCTGATCCGGAAAAAACAGACAAGTGCACAAGCAACTCACCAGGGCTTTTCATGTCATTCCGGACCAGAAAAAAAATCTGAAAATTCAGTGTAGTGCACAAGCGCCCATAGTGCCATTGTCTTTTTTTCTTGCTTTATACTACACCTTAGTTATCAACAGTTTTTAATAGAACTTTGTAAATGCAAAGTAACAATCATAATAATAATTCTAGATTTTGGCATTTCAGCATTTATTATATGTATTAATTAAATATATTTGATCAAATTTGATTATTGCTATTGTAAGAGCAAAGTGTTCTGTAAATGTTGTTATGGTTTATTAAATCATTAAAGATTCTTAATTTATTGTAAATAAGGGTTTTCTGAAAGGAGCATAAATTTCGAAAATATTACTAAATTAATGCCGCTAATTCAATTGGGAGTGTTATATACAATACAGTTTCTATATTAAAAGGAGTGAAATACTGTACTATTTAAACCTTGCAATGTGAGTTTTATGTACATTTATAAAAAAGTTTCAAATCAAAGCTTTATTTGTAATGAGTTAAGTTGCTCCGAGTTCGAGTATTGTGCCAAGACCTTTAGTGAATAATAATTTATAAATATCGTTAGAGTACAAGATACCATATCAACGGTGCTAGTTAAAAAAACATTTAAAAACTTAGGTTATCTCTTCTAGGTATTTTTTTTAGATGTCACGGCACCATTTTTATCGTTTTGACTGTCAATAAACGGCACTAGTGTTGTCTAAATCGAATTTTATGTGTTTGTAAAATGTCTTGTAGTTGAGGAGTCAGTGCTTTAGCTAGTTAATTTGGGATCTAAACAATATAAGTGAAGTTTGTCTTATATACAAAATTGCAAGCATAAACAAACAAAACATAACAGGAACATATCGACATTTTCTATGATGAAAAAAGTAAGATCGTTAAAAGAGAACACTAGTACTATCTATTGGGAGTCGATGGTAATCGAACCAACGGTGAAAACTTTAGGCTGGTGTAAATCTGACGAAGCTCTTTCTTGCATATCACAAGCATAAGTTAGTACGCTCGACGGACGGTGTGAGTATGCTCTCATATGTATTTTGTCAGTTCTGACATCGGCTAATAAACACGGCGGAATTTCAGTCAGATGTGCATCGACCGTTCTAGATAAACTGGCTCAGGATTTGTCAATTACAATAATGCGGTACGGACACAAGCGTTGATGGCGGCGGCTTGTAGCCACGCTGCCACACACGAATCCCACATATATTATATTATATAAGTAATAATAACGCTTTTAAAGCTAATGAGTCAAATTTGTGTAAATGCCAAAAGTTTTCGTGAATTATTATGCTAACGATCCTACAGTTTATGAGTTTATGATCGTACGAAAGTTATATTTGTTGAGAGCCGTTGTAACTTACATTTAATTATATATTCTGTCATATTATATTTTTCAGTATCACATGAAAGTATGAGTGTGCGAGCATCAGCGTTTTAATATTCTGTAATCGTTGGGTTCAGTGCAAATTTAATTAGCAATAATAATAAAGTGTGTAAGCGGTTGCTATAGAATTGTTGAAATTTTATATTGTATGATTTTTCAAGGTGATATTCTAAAAGGTTTTGTTTATAAAGTTCGTGGGACATAATGGTGGCAGCACGGCGCGTGAGTGTGCGTGGAAGCATTGCGACATATACGTATGTATGCGAGTTACCTTAGAACATAAAGTGGTTATTAAATCGTCCTAGTTGCAGCGATGCATAGAAATGATACTCATTAATCTTTTGATCAATTCACGAGTTCTTTGCATGAACCCTTCATAAAAGTAACGCACCAACTATATTTGAGGTGGTAAAGTATTATGTTAGTATAATTTGAATAGTATAACAATGACAATAAGGTTGTGTTTTGTACTTACAGATGGGCTTTTTGGTAGACCAACTCTTTGCCCACACGTGGTCAATAAATTAACCAGGCACTCTCTAACGCGACTCTGTGAAAAAAGTAAATGAATTTAAGTTACATTACACTTGTAATTTTAAAGTAAGATACAACTTTTTATTGCAAATTTTCATTTTTGTAAAATTGTTACATTAGACTCCATTAGAGGCGCCGATGTCGGATTGTTTTCGTGCTATTTGAAGTATGTTCATTTTTAGGTTATAGACAAATAAACGAAAGTAAGTCTTTTTCAATGAAAAATGCTTAAAAAAATTGCTTGGTCCCCGACCCTCTAAGATGGGATTCAAACCCATGACCTTTCGCAATCAAGATGGCTGGTAATAATTAGAAAATAAGTGTTACAAGCAATAGAAATCAAAGGACTTATGTTGGATTTCTATATATCGCAGTTAGATAGATAAAGCAGTAATATAGTTATATTACTAGAGACATTTTTATGCCGTGACATGAATGAATGAATGACAGAGACATGATTATGATCTAGATACCGAAGATGATAAAATTCCATTGGAGGATATTAGTGTTTTACATATGAACTTTTTCCTATATGATTCACTACTGTAGGTCTAGTCATAGGTAAGAACTTGAAGACTTAAAATTTGGGGTTATTTTTTTTCAATCTACGTAATCATATAACGCTGATGTACAAACAACCTCAGAAAATTATAAGATTTTCTTTCTGGACACTCAATATAAATGAAATGGCCTAATGTAAATAAGCATATAATTAAAAGTTGGCGTATAAACTACATGATCAGCTTTACGTGGCCTCTTCGTAAAAAACGTCCATTTCATGAAATAGCCGGCTGGATCATGAAGTGATCATTTTCTACGATCTGGCCACGAAATATACAAGTAACTTGCCTGCGACATCCATGGTCGCTTCCATCCAGAAGCGAGAGCGTCCGCTGGTGAGAGTGAAAGGGACCGTCTTGGTGACGCGACGGAGGTAGGCTGTCCCGCTCCCACGCCCACGCCGGTCCCCGACCCCATCCCCACCACCGAGCCTGTAACCCCGCCCACCTCCCCGCCTACTACCGTCGACGCTGAACCAGACGCTGATGCTGATGCTGACGATCCTAATTATTTTAACATATGCCACATTCACATTAATCAGCCTAACAATTCCCATCCCCATTGCTGTAGCACAGGCCTTCCCTATGGATAAAAACAAAAAGGGAGAACGAGTCATCGCCCACTATGTAAATACACATAGGATATAATGTAAATTGGTGCGAATCAACAGTTAAAAAGAATTTCACTGGCTTAGGAAGACCCCGTAGCTCTAAACTGCAACACATCCACAATTCCTAACAAAAATAAACATCAAAATCGATCTGGAAATGCCTATCGAAGCAATAAGAAACTCGAGATAATGAATTTCTGGTCAGCTATCCTGTGATCACCAAAGAAATTTTATTAATTCAGTGGATCCATTTGCAGCTACATACATTACTACCAAATTTTCAAAATTCGATAAAAAAATTAAGATTAAATTCCCCGTTGAGTTTCATGTGAACCTCGGGTTAACTTGACTTTCAGAGTCACGGAGTTATATTGAAACACTAATAATAAAAAAAGTAAACGGAAAATTTAAAAAAAAAATTGTAAACAATAATTGTTACCTTTGTCTGGCGTGGCGGATGGCGTAGAAGTGGAGAGCGAGCTAGGTCCTGTAGTGGGGTGTGATCCCGCTTTGGGCAAATACTTGCGACCGATAACGGGAGTTTGCGATAAATCAAATGTGAATTCCATCGTGCGACCTGGCAATTCCTAAAGTAAACATATTGAATATTCAGTATGTACGCTCTGATTGAAGTGTGTACAAAATGACAAGCAAAAACTTAAATTACCGCTCTAATAGTATGCTATTATATGTCATAGTTAGGTGTCATCTGTGTTGCGGTATTAATATTTAAACAAAATGAAGGTTATGCACGTAGTGGTAGAAGCGATGAAAATTTATGTATTCCGCTCCAAAGACTTACTATTAACTCAAAGAACGTTTACTTTATGACTATACACATTTATAACTAATTACCAAACTATATTTAAAGTATTATTAATGTTAATAAGTATATATAATAGTTTATATGTATTAAATATTTAATAGATAAAAATTATTATTCAATTTTTTGCAAGTTAAATCTCAATCTAAATTATTGTATGCAACCTTTTATTATAATATGAACCTATTGTATCATATATGACTATGATTTGAATTTCACTATTTTTATGTAATTTATTTTTGGCATTTAAAAATTTGCTATTTTTTATATGAAATTTATATTTGCACATCGTCTTGACGATAAAATGTGCGGTTCTAAAATTGTTGAATTATAATGTAACCATGTTTTCGCAAATAAAGATTATTATCTTCGTACACGGTTATTTCACATTTACACAGATTACAAAATCGTACCTTTCTACTTAGCTTTTAAATTGTTATTATATTATGATATCTGTTTGAGAGAACAAATAAAGTTTTATTTGATTTGATTTAATGCGTAGATCAATAACTTGAATATTACCTTCTTGCCGTGTAGTTCTGCATCGAGTAATGACGGCGCGTGATCCCAGTACGGGGGCACAACTAGTGTGGAGCATCGCGTCACCACTAGCTTCAGGATTTTCATAGCCTCCTTGTAGTTGTTGCCATCCTATACATAAAACATTTAATTCATTAAAGCTATCCCTAATGTGATGTTTAAAGATAAAAGTTAAAATTCATAAACGAAGTATAGAACTAATTTAAATAGAAAACTTTAATAATTGGAATAAAAATAGCAAAAGATCTTTATATTTTATAAGAAGATAATTTAGTTATTTGCTTTTGAAAACCTTGCGAGCTTAAGGTGGGGGCACTAACGATTATCTAAATAGGGTAGGTTCGGTAGTGAAAAATAAGTCACAGAATTGCATAAAAACTAAAATTTACATCTTACTAAACATAGAGATTCTGATTTTGAGTGTTAAAATCGCACGATTATCTTAATATCTTAAAGTTAAAAGTCGGGATTTTTGTCAGTGTGTCATGTGACTTGAAACACGACCCGTCATTATGTGGCGTCACTGTTGCGACATAAATTTATGCTTAATAATTACGAGGGTCAAACTGAAAGTTCTTAGAACTGGCCACTTATAAACAATATAATAAAAAAATAATTCTAAAATTTGAAAATATAACTCTTTGCCAATATTACTGAGTATATATTTCATTCATTTGTCATTTGTTTTACGATTTGGCGGCAAATTGAAAATTGTCTGTGTCACGTCATCATGAATTTAACACGAGAAAATTTTCGTGCAATGATTTTTTATGACTTTCGATGTCATTTAAGTCAACAAGAAAGTTATGATAGACTACGATTGGCCTTTCACGATGAAGCCCCATCTCGTGCGACTGTTTACAACTGGTTTAATGAGTTTAAACGTGGTCGCGCTAATCTCACTGATGATTTACGTGAGGGACGGCCTTCTACGGCGACGACTGAAGATAACATCTGTGTTGTGCGGCGTATGATAGAGACTGACAAAAGAGTGACCTATCAACAGATTCGGACAAGCTTAGGCATCGGTATGAGTCAAGTGCACAAAATCCTCCACGAACATTTAGCGGTCAGGAAGCTTTGCGCCCGGTGGATACCTCATAATTTGACTGAGGCTCAAAAACTCCATCGTGTGGATTGGTGTCGTAAAATGATTGAAAGATTTAACGGAGGTGACTCAAATGCTGTGTTCGACATACTAACAGGTGACGAAAGCTGGATTTACTGTTATGATCCTAAAACCAAAAGACAATCTGCTCAGTGGGTGTTTCCTTTCGAGGAGTTGCCAACTAAAGTGAAGAGAGATCGAAGTGCGGGAAAAAAAATGGTGGCCTCGTTCTTTGGAAGGATAGGTCATTTTGCAACAATTGTGTTAGAGGATCAAAAAACAGTTTCTGCAGAATGGTACACTACCAATTGTTTGCCACTTGTCTTGGAAAAAGTTCGAGAGAAACGACCTCGCAGTAGGATCCTCCTTCACCACGACAACGCCTCGTCGCACACCGCCAAGCGAACGATCGACTATTTGGCGACATCAAACGTTGAATTACTGGGTCACCCGCCGTATAGCCCCGACCTCGCGCCTTGTGATTTTTATTTATTTCCAAAAATTAAAGAAAAACTTAAAGGAAAGCGGTTTATGAATGCTGAAGAAGCGGTGGCTGCGTATCGCGATGCCATTGAAGAGACCCCTAAGGACGAGTGGGCAAAGTGCTTTTCCCAGTGGTTCCATCGCATGCAGCGGTGTATTGACGTGAATGGACAATATTTTGAAAAGATATAATAAAACTAATAACTGGCTAATGTAATCAGTTTTTGATTTTCTAAGAACTTTCAGTTTGACCCTCGTATAAATCAATTTTCTTGAAAATATATTTATATTCGTATTTCGAAATCGATTGATAGATGGCACTGTTCTTGTTTTATTGACATCTTTTAATCTTCTACTCTATGCAACTGTTCTGTGTGCATATCACAATGACGTCATGAATAAGACGGACAATGTTCTCACGGGTATATATTAAAAAATATTAAATTTTGATTTAATTTTAAGGCAAGAAAACGTCTTTATTTTTTCCGAAATATTTGATATAAGGCTTTTTTAAATTAAAATAAACAGTTTCAAGTATTTTTTCAAACAGAGTTAAATACCCTATTAAGACGTTTAAAGTGAGGGTAAATTACCATTGAATCGAGATGTCTGTTAACTATAAAAATATTTGATTAAATTTTGCAAAAAATTATTTACTTGACATTGGCAGAATTGTGCGAAATGCGCAGATAAGCCATTAATAAAAAAATAAATGAACTAAATTTTGCATTTAAGTCCATATCCTTATTTTTACGTTTACGAATGTATGTATACTCACGTCTAGGAATCGTACAACAGCTCGTAGTAAATCAGCGTGCACGGGCTGAGCTGCGGGTGCGTTTAATTCCACGTAGTACAACATACAGTGGAGTATTGATAATACTGGTAACTGTAAACTCGGTGCGCCCTATAATATATAATTATCATTAGCCTATTATTGTGACTGGTATTCCCCATCAAAAGGAACACCAACACGAAGATAATAACAGCCAGAAAAATAAATAGTCATACTCGGTGGAACAGAACGATCGACACTCCCGAGGTTCCTGGAGAGTGCTATTTGTCTTTAATATAATGTAAAAAAAATTATAAGTCTAGGTCAAATAGTTTCGGAGATATTAAATTACAAAGTTTTTGAATAAAAATGAGTGTTTTCAACCCTGAGTCAGCTGTTTTTGGGACGTACTAAGGAAAAGTTTTTAATCGGTCATTGACTTCTTCATTTCTAAAAACAAAATAAACTAGTTTGTAATTTATAAGACTACTTTCATGCAAATTCTAGCAGTCAATCAATAAACAAGGCAGTCAAAATGCTTAAATCGATTAACAGACTAAGCCGGTTTATGATTTGAAAAAAGAAGAAAATTTCTACTGCTTATTCTCAATAACCTAGGTTTTTTTAATTACACAAGTCAAATAGTCTTAGTTTTATCAAACTGCTATCAACTGATCATCAAAAAACTAAAATCGGAAACGAAAACTAAGTGATCTTAATTTGAGACGTTTAACTTTACATACTCAATTAAGAAACAGAGTGTAAAATTTCCTAAATTATTGTAGAGAGATCACTCTAACATTAATCTACGTTATTTTAAAAGAGCAGTTCTCCATAAAAATTGTTTGAATGGGGTAATACTCCTTTAACAACGGTATCGTTAACTAAACTCGATAAACTCACAAATCTTCCAGCGATTCATCATTAACACCGTCCGTTGTAATCTGCGCACAATCGATATTGCGCATGCGTGTTAAAGGGCTGTCAACACTTAGAAATTTAAAATTTTTACTCCATTTTTACACCTTCTCTATTTTTAAATATTTGTCAAATAAAATGAACGTTTGCATGTAACCTAACTTGAAACTTTCGGCTGTGTCGGTCATTTTGTTCCTCCCTGTATATAGCTAGTAGGTATAGTATAGTTCAGTATACGTATTCATAACGAAATTTCAATATACCACCATGTGTCAAATATCACAATCAATACTAAACTGTACCTGTGATTGTTTAAAGAATTTATTTTTTGAGTATTTCAAGAGATTTGGACGGCAGATATATCAAAAGAGCATTAGGATATATTTTATGTTTGCTTATGAATTATGTCGCTGTCATTTAAGTTTAAAATATCAGTAAACAAATAACTTACCTTCTCTAAGACTTCGACAAGGAAGGCGATCATCTGTAATGACAGATGTGAGTATGTGTCCCAGAGGTATTTGACTACGCACTTGGTCCATTGGAAACTCTCCTTACTGAACGTCCGTCTCGAGTACAACGTCATCACTGTGCCGAGATTCTCCAGTTTCTTACTCTTCTCAGCCGTGAACTACAATGTGTTATCCATAATGAACTCACTGTTTAGACGTTTGAATTCAAAGGGTGTTAATGGGATCATATTAATAATATGCATCCTTCCATTTTATCGTCGTAGAGTAGATTTTTTTTCAAAGGACACAATTTCAAGGGACTGTAGACCTGAGTGTATGGTTTTAATTTCAATTCGATACTTCGTGCGGTCACGAAATTCCATCTTAACAAACAAAGTAATCGTATAAGAGTTCCCTGTTTTTCCTTTTGAGGTACGGAAACATAACACAGTAAAATGGGCAAAAAATTTTCTTTCTCTATAATTATTTTACTACCATTTAACATTAAAATGACTAAAGCAAGAAAACTTTCAAATTACTGTTTCTTTTCTTTTTTTTTTAATCGTATAATAATATATTGTTGAATAATGTACTTACCTGTGCTATATGGCATGCTGCTCGTACGCACAGTTCGTTGGCGTCCTCGTAATGTAGCAGCATGTAAGGCAGTAACGCGACCACGGTCATTGGGAACGCTAGAGCTTGTGTCGGATCTATGACCGGCAACTCTAACAGTGGTATCATGTCCACTAGTACACCTACTACTGGCTCGTAGGTGCTTGGATGTGTACAACCCTGTATTATTAATCACACCGATACAATACAAATTTTATTTTGAATTTTAAAATCTCATGCTGAGAAGCTTTAAAAATTTGGCAATTTAACAATTCTTGGAAGTATTTTAAAAAGTACATATGTCGCACTCGAAAATGTGTTAATATAAAAGAAATATATGTCCTTCCATTACTCTGAAAAGCAACGATATACTAAAGCAGTAGATATCATTAAGTGACGTTGAATGTAGTTCACAAATTTAAATGCATTGACAATTTAAGTTATGACGGGACTATGAATTAAATATATAAAATACAATATCTTGCATAGTATTAATTTAGATTTATTTTAACACTGTTATTACATGTAATAAAGGAAAAATAACTATAGTTGTTTGCAGAACATGATCGAAGTTGCAGAATTGAAAACTCAGTAGGATAAGAGTAAAACTATTTTTTTTTATAGTATTAGAAAGTGTACAGTTCATAAATGTGACCTTGAGTAATAGTGCATGTAGCGATGGTGCCGTGTGCGCCTGCGTGCGATCTAAACGGTCTCTTGCGTCTGGCCTGTCTAGCGGCAGACGGGCCATGACACGAGCGAGCAGACGAACTCCTAGCAAGAACTCATGCTCGTAGTCAGACTCCAGGAGTGACGCGCCCACCCAAAATAACGTCGCCAGTATTGTTAACTTATCGTCCTGCACACATAATATTTAGAAATTAGCCAAGATCATTGCAATCGGTTGGTTATTTCTGTTGGAATAAGTGTTATATATCATTAAAAATAGTGAGGCTTCAAACTTCGATCAGCAATACAATTAGATAACGTCTCGCATACTAAAACAACCATACACTCCAACAACCGAGGAACATAACACTACAGAGTATATTCTGTGATAAGGCGAAAACTGAGCTCCGGAACTGGGTAAGTATTGAGTCGCGTTGTCAATTTTTCTTTATAAAATATACGAATAATTCATAATAAGAGACTGGACAGCAATTAGATAAAAAAAAATGTGTAGTTAAAAAGTTCATTAAGTTTAAGGATTATATGCTGAACATTTATGCAAAATGATAGTTATTTCTATTTTCAAATCAATCAACAATAATATAAGTTTCCAATGTTTGTGGTATAACGTAATTTCTGGGTAAATTGATAATAAAATGATCTAGGAAAAGTGCGGGAAACATTTAAAGTGCAAAATTATTTACTTGATTTTAAGCAAGTTACAAGGGTCAGTCTTCTGTATTATTATACGTACTGAATACTATAATTCCTTTTTTTTTACTGAAAGTCCCTTTTTTGCCCCACAAATGTCGCACTCACTCGCTGTTTACGCGGTTTTTAAACATTGTTTTGGTTACATAATTAGAGTAAATTTACATGAAATAATATTTGTGGGAATAAGCACACAAACATATTTAAATCTTATTAAATTTAGGGAGGTGGGTTTTAAATATAAACAACAGAACAATTATAAAACCTATTATCTTTGCGTACATTATATTTTAAAATTATGAACTAAATAATATATTTTTTTATAATTAATAATATAGCTACTTTCAAACAATACTTATTAGACATTTCCACATATCTAAAATTTTATCATATGGAAACTTTTGTATTAATTAAATCACTATTACAGAATAATTGAATTATTGAATTTATTATTTGTTAAGTTGCCCTTCACTACCATAAACTACCACCAGTACAAAATTTGAGGGTCTTGTTTGAAAAGAACTGGCTAAACAATCTCCGAAAAGACAGAGATTACTTCCTATAATTTTAGAGAATAAAACTATCTGTAACTTTAGGTTTTGCAGTGTGAGATCAAGGTTTAGATTTTTTCCACTAATTAATGGATCCGAAGTCGATGCCATATTCCAACTTTGGTCTCTATTACAAACTATTACCAATTCATGTAGTGTTCAAATTTTTGGTAAAAAAAAAATTAAATAGTACACTACTACATGTATGTGCTGTCTTAGAACATCGACTATTTAGTCAAATGTTTGCCATGTTCGCGCATTTGTTGGCTCAGAAACAATACTCTGTTCTTTTATTGAATATACTTTGACTATTTATTATAGATATTCTAAAATGACATTTACATCCCGAAAATATGATATCCTAAAAAAATCATTTTTATTCCGCTACTTATTTTTGCAGTTTTAATATGAACTATGAGATCGTAACACGTCCGAACGTTGGCGTCATCGCAAACAAACTAAAACAAAGTAAGATCTCATTTTGAAGTGAGGTGTTATATCTTCGGCCCTTTTGGAGACTGACCGGGCATCTAGTTGTATTGTTGATCGAAGGCTTTAAAGTATTAATTTTTTTGCTGTGTACCATTTAATATTATTACAAAAATCATACTCGTCGTTTTATAAATGCCAAACATATAAAATGGACATAGATACTAGAAAGACAATTATATATTAAATAAATAATGTAGTCGAAACAAAAATTATTATGTACTCAAAGTTCATGTAATTTTTATAGTATCTGTAATTTAATCCTGTAGTGAGGCTATAATCTTTGTTTTTACATACAAATAGTCAATTCATAAATATATTCTTTATTTTATCCTGCCATTTACTTAGCTTACTTTATCTCTAGTGACTCTGTCGAGCTGTTGTCTGATTTATTTCAACATCGTTTTATATAAGAAGACTTTAACTTTTAATTTATTTTTTGTATGTGATAAACACATTAAATGCGATAACTATTTCGATATGATATTGTTCTGAGCGAAAAACCATAAAGGAGCTTGCGTATAATAAAGAATTGGGATTATTGAACACGGTACAGTCAATCAATTTGAATTCCATTCCAACACGGATCCTCGTAATATAAATTAATTGGAAATTTATACTAATATTGTAAAGATATAAGATTTGATTGTTCTTTCATTTCAAGCTATATCATATGCCGTTGACATAGACTTTAATTAACGCAGGCGATGTGGCACGAAAATAGCTAGTTTTTATAAATCTAATCTAATGACAAAATTCAAAAGCGTGACTCATTGTAGAGTCAATTTGACAAGCTTTTAGATTGATCTAGGAATCAAATTTATTGTCTGTATACATAGCAATCCTCTAAATATAACATGGCTTTTACTAAATTACATAATGTTGATATTCAAATTACCTTGCTATAGGGTATTAAAGGCTACAATTTAAATGAATGATCTCTCAGTAAATGCTTGAAAGTTCCCATTGAAATATCACGTACCCGGACAACAGTAGGTGATGGTGGTAAAGATTTATCCCCGCATGGACAGCGGGATTTTCTGCCCTGAGATTTTAATATGTTCAATATAAAAAATATATATAGAATAACAAACTTAACTTTAACTGTATTTGTACAATTTTCCTTTACACATTTTTATTCAGAAACACAGCAGCACACTACTACAAAATGTCAAATTATCGCAATCAATTTAAAAATAGATTGGGGTATTGGCCTTTTGTAGTAAGGTGACGCGTCGTTGCATGTACCTGTGTTGCTGTATCGCCTAGTTGTTTGAGTGATTGTGCGGATCGTGATCGGCATAGGTTTGAACATGCTCCTCGCCCCGCCTCACCACAACCGCGACCACGCTCTACAATTTAAGGTACAAAGGTGACTAACTGACATAGTGATCTATCAACGCACAGTCCAAACCACTGGACGGATTGGGCGGAAATTTGGCATACAGTTAAATGTTATGACGTAGACATCCGTTAAGAATTTTGTGGATTTAGATCAATTCTTCCCCCAAGGGGATAAAATAGGGGATGAAAGTTTGTATGAAGCTTTGTCAATTTTTAACCAATCGGGCTGAGACTTTGCACGCATAAAGCTACTATGACGTCGGCATCCTCTAAGAAAGGATTTTGATAAATTCCACCACTAAGGGGATAAAATAGGGGATGAACTTCATTTCAGGTATTTGACACGATATAATGAATAAATATTCGTTAGAAATGCTGCTCAAAGTAACTTTACCATGCGGACGAAGTTGCGGGCAAAAGCTAGTTTAAAATAAATAACATCCACCAACTGCCGCCATCTTTTGTTCACAGTACAGGCAATAATAACAAAAAACTTTCATATATCTGTCATTAATTCGTAGTTGTGCAAAATTTTACTTTATCATCACTTATAGAATGATAAGAGATAGGTGCTTAACGTTATATAATGTTTATACTGTTAATCTCATATAATTACCATGATGTTTATCAGCGCTGGATGGCGGTGCATTTGGTTTCCGTACGCAGTATGACACCGAGTAACTTGTGCTGCGTGTGTGGTTACTGACGCAACCTACGCATACGCCCGGCGATCTCTTGCCTGCGAAAATTCAAAAGAATAATAATAATAAATAAAATTATTATTTTTCTAAACTGAAGTCAATATTACACTAGGCGTTTCGAGCTTCCTTTTGAACAACAGTATTTGTACTCGTATTAGGAAGAACCGCTCTTTAGCGATTTCTCAAGTCGAGAAGATTTTATAGTAACTAAAATAAATGAAATCAATTATTCATTTTAAACCAGATGTGCTCTGCCGTTGTATACAAAAATTATTCAACTACCTGCATTGTAAGCGTTGCCATTCGGTTGTTGACCGTCCTTATTGTTCAAATTGGGCGTAGATTTGAATATGTCACGCATATAATCCAAAGGTCTGAAGTGTGACTCCAAGCTGTCCACAGCAGCTTCGAGAGTGAGGAGTAACTCTGTCACGTATCCCTGCATATCCTCACCCTGCTCGGCCACTGTCTCTACCAGACGTGATAATATGTCTGATACATTACGACCTGTCATCGCCACGCCTATCAAGCGGAACACCTGGAATTGAAGAACATTTTGTTTCTGTTCATGAAAAAAATAATGTTGAAGAATCTCAAGAATCTCAAATACCACACTGTTATATTGAAGTTAAGTTTATTCTAGGAAAATCTGCAAGTTGGATTACAGGTTTCTAACAAATATTAAAAAAAACTGGCTACGTGCTTGTCGGAATTGCTCACTGAGGTTGCTTCGTACCAGATTTCATGATTCAGAGTTCATGGGAAGTGCCCTGTAGGTTTTTGATTCTCTTGCTAGTTTGGAAAATTTGCCGCATAAATGGCTGTATCTTTTAATTGTGTTGGATTAGAAGTTTAATTAAACACAGCTCCAAGGGACAAGAAGACCTAAGTATTTGATATAAATTTCATCTTGACACTTCCACGCGTTCATAAGAAAAAGTTTTGACAGACGGATGAACAACAAAGTGATCTTATAAGGGTTCCGTTTTTTATTCGAGGTACGGAAGCTTACAAACTACCTTTGCTTACTTTTCTAGTTAATGTGTAAGTTACCTGTAACGAACGTCCGGCGTAATGTCTCGAAGGACATGAGAGTCCTAATTGTAACGCGGTCTGAGCCCATCGCTCGGAAACTAGCGCGTGCGGCAAGGACTCGCGAAATACGCGTAACACGTGACGCAACAAAGTCGCCATCTGTTGACAACTGCGTAGCGACCATACTGTCGCACACACAGATTATAATACAATGAGTGTACATCATCAAGTATATTGTAATCACATCTTTTTAACTCAGCCACTAACATGCCCTTCCAGTCATGAGATTGATAATCAAACGGGTACCTGGTGTTAATGAAAAACTATGCATCTTCTCACCTCTGTGGCCGAATACCCGTATAACATTAAACGTCGAGGTGTTTCTAAATCATGTAAATCTGAGGCTCAAATCTATGCTTCTCTATTGAAATTGTGATTATCCTAATAATATTGTATCTGCTGTTTTCAAGATCTATATCAAGGGTTAGGTAAGGTATTTAGCAAACAAATAAATAAGAAATATAATAAATTTGCTAGTAATAATGCGCTATAGTCTTATATCAGGACAATGAATTTTTATTGATAAAATAAATCATATTTATTAATTATGTCTAATAAAAATAATTACTCTTACCTTTGGCGGTTATATCTTCATATTGCCATAGGGGCATGTGCGTGGGTCGATTGGCAAGGAAGTGTACTAGTGATTTGATCAAGTCAGCCACTGGTACCAGCGACTGTTGTTGCTGTGGTTGCAATTGAGTCGTTGGCTGAGGAGTGTCAGAGTCACGACTCTCCTCACCTTCAGTCACTATCACTGGCAAAGACGGATATTGATCACCTTCACCTGTTGGAAAACAAGATTAAATGTTTACTAAACACTAGTTTCTATTTCAATAATAAATCACCAAAGCAATGATGTCGATAGAAATAATTAAAAAAAAATTACCTATTATATCTAAATGTTGTACAAAAAAGAGGTTTTATTTTAACAATTGACTATAAATAAAAACATTGTTTCAATACAATCAGGCATTACCTTGCGGTAATCCAACAATAACTGTAAAATTGTTTTTTTCAACAATGACAACAGTGATTTTGGAGCCGCTAAAACTATAACTGAGTTTTGTACATTAGGTACCAGTATTAAAATTGCATACTTATTTTTTAATGCTACGTGTAGTTTTCGAGATATGGAATATGTATATATAAAACATAAAAACTGAATTTTTAACATTTACTTAGGATATTTAACAAGAAGAAAAATACATTTTTAAAGACTTTTTTAATGTGTGAATTATTTAATAATACATTGATGTTATTGCATCGATGTTAACTTTTTGAAACAACGACATCCCTATACGTGTACATTTTCGTCACATCCGCTCTGACAAGTAGCATGGCGTTGAAATATTTTGAAGTTACCGCATTTATTTTGCACTTTTTAATAATTATTTTCAAGACGAAAACAAACTAATATTGAAAAATATTTAGATAGACTTTTTTTTCAATCAGACGCATATTCCCTATTATTAGAGTAAACAAACAGTGACAATTTGAAATATAGTTAAAAGTAAAATTATATATTCTAAATTTTAAAATCGCCACCAACACCGTTTACCACGTTAACATATTTTAATGATTTTTACAACTCTTGTAAGACTACAGTTTTAAACTATTACTTAATTATAATATAGACTGCTTATTTGTTTAAGGGAGTATTTCAAGTATTTTTTTTAATATACCAGTACTCACGGCCACAATATCTATCGAATTAAATGAATATTAAATATACCAGACGGTAAAGTGGCGAGCGCCTGCCGGCATTTGTTCGGCATCGGGCTGTTGCAAATAATTTACATTGAATTCTGCAGTGAGTTCTGGAGTATTCTGTAACTTAGTTTATTTATTATAGATAAACAGTCATATCTATTATGACCAGAGGTCGGAAATAGGTAGAGTTATTTATGTACTTGCATCGAAATGTTGATATTAATGTGGACTTTCTCGGGATTTCTAATGGACAATCCCGTGTGGCCAACAATCTTACAACTAAATAATAATAACAACGTCAGAGATAGACAATAATTAACATAAAATTTTTATTAGTTTACATTAATTTACAATACAAATTATTGATAGTCTTAAGCAAATTCTCATACGCATATTACGTGCGTGCAGTAGTTTAAATTGTGTAAAAGTAAATAACTTTTTATTTAAAAAATCACGGGATTTTTTCTGCTCTTTAAAATTAATCTTTGAGGCATATCCACTTTATTCTTTCGCTGTATGAAATCAGTGTAAGTACATGAATAACTCTACCTAATTCCAACCACTGGTTATGACATAGATTATAAAGCAATTTCATTTCAAGTATAGTACGTCTTTGACTTAGATAACCTTAGATAACCTGTAAGAACTTTTTTGGACATTTTCAAGTGTTTCTATGTATTTGTTATAAAAAGGATTCCAGATGGTTACCGCACATTCTAGTTGTGATCTTACTAGGGACCTATAAAGTGCAAGGTAAGTTCGTAGGACAAATAACAATGATAATATATGTAGTGCAAGTAGTGGTTTGCTTAAACGAGGTACTAATCTGCATCTCAAAATCGTACATCTTGAAAGATCAGCTACCAATACCATTTATATTTTGATCAATATGCAACTTATTATCTAATATGATGCCCAGATCTCTAATAGCCTCAACTTTTTGGAATATTGTACCATAAAAAAGGTAATCACCGTTATTTTTTTCTTTTTTGTGAAAGCGATAGCTTTACATTTATTAGTATTTAGTTGTGGTTTATTATCGTTACAATACTTAAGAGTTATTAAGTTGTATAAAAGGCCTTGAACTAATTTGATATTTTTTGTTTGCCTTTTCATTACTTAAATTTTTTTCACAATTTTAACAAACGATTCAAAACCCCTGATTCCAAATTATTCTTTGAATTGGTAAACTCTGTCTTTAATTAACTGTTTTATTTGAGGTTCATCTACTAAATAACGAGAAACACGCCAGCTTTTCGCTCCTCTGTACCTCTGGAAACTTCTTTGAAATTAAGGCAAAATAAGGGACAGTAAATAAAATGTTAATCGTTTTTAAATCTACTAATATGACCCATTGATGATCCCGATCCCGATAGTTAGCAAACGGAGAATAGGGATTTGTCATTTTTTATAAAGTATTTCATACAATTTCTCTACACAAATACATATAGCAGTCCTCGAAGTGTTTTTTTTTTTTAGTTCTGACTAAATTCTAGGTACTTCATATTATGTGCTCGTTTATCACTTGCACATTATCTGAAATGGTTAATGCACAATTCGTATACGATTTTGGGTAACCACTGCATTTAATACGTATCTTGAGAGAATCAAAATACGTCTTTTTTTATGAAGAAATTTATTGTTTTCTTAAATTTTTCACAAATGTAACAAAATGTGAGTGGATCATTTTAAAAAATTCTCTTAGACGATTATATAATAATATTATCGATTAAATTTGAACATGAAACTACTTCGACTTCTTTTAACTTTTTTATGATTGTGTATCAAGACATTCAACAAATATCGATGGGTAAAGTATTGCCGGCACCAATATTTTTTTCTTTTGTTGACTCGTGTAATCTTTACTTACAGAATATATAATAAGGACAGTAAAAATATAACTATTATTTTTTTGCCGACGCTACCAGTTGATTTGGCTATAACGTCATTTAGCAACAATCATCGACGGCCAACTCAAAGCGAACATATTGTATTAGCCATTCTCTTCAACTAACCGGGTGATAGTTGAAAAATATCGTAATTTTTCATTATAATGAGTAATCCGAATAAGTGCTGACAGCATGTTAATAAAGTAATTGTCTTACCATCGGGTGTGACTTGTGGGTCGGAACTAAGTGAGCGGACATGAGAACGAGGCGAGTGCGCGCACGCTGGTACGCTGTCGAAAGTCGTGTCAGGCTCTACAAGCAAATATAACAATATATATAAATCGAGTCATGCATGTTAAACTCGTCGTAAATACTATAACACTTAATTCAAAATCCAAAATGGTAGTTGTAATGTACGTTATTAATATTATATGCGAGTTTAATAGAAGTTTCTTCAATGTATTAATTACCTTTCGGAAAAGCATTATATTTGACCTTTTCAAGCCTTTTTGAAGTAGTATTTCGTACAATATCTCATTCTCGTGGGCAAACATATTGCTATTGCGCTTGCACAGATGCATCTAGTCAATTTTGCCATAATAAAGTTAGCCTAAACTGTTTACAATATATACCAGAGGGTACAAAAGTCAATGTATGAAATAACCTCTGTTCGGCAGCCGTACTATACGTCTGATGTCCAGACAATATTCACGGATATGATTTCAACTAAATTATAAGAACGATTCGAAATTTTCCAAATTTCTGTCCATGCACTGTCGTTGTTGAAAATGAGTTGGTCCTCAGTTCTTTTTAAGTATGGACATACGGTCCAAATTAGATGGGTTTTAGTGTGTACTGACCGGTAAAGACGGGTGCGGGCGGAGCGGGCGATGGTGGTGGCAGCCCTAGTCCCAGTTGTTGGGATCGGCTCGCTAGCAACGTCCGCGCCACCGTCAGGTGATCGTGGTGAGCCGCCACCGCCACCAACAAGTTCAACAGCAGCTGACGACAGTGCTGGTGGACGATCCATCTGCGATCGACCACCGATATCAATCAAATCGTTTACCGTAATTTTTACTAAACAATCTTTTTTAACATGAACACTAAAAGTTTTACAATTATTTATAAGGGACTAGCTGACCTTACGAACGTTGTCCTGCCTTAATTAAGGAATTTTGCAGCACGCATTCTGTCAATTCTATGTCATCCGTCATAAATTAAAAAAAATTAAAATTAAAAAATATTAAATTATCCAATGCACTAACGTTAGATTAGAAATAATTTTAAATGATTCTTGAATATTCTTTAATTTTCCTCACATTTTTTTTATTATTTCTTTCATAAGAACCTTCTCCTGACAGTAACAAACACAACAAAAAGGAATTATCGAATTCGGTCCAGCTGTTCACGTGTGATGGCGTAACCAAGAGAAATAGGGATTAATTTTTATATATATACTAGCTGACCCGACAGACTTCGTCCTGTCAAAAAGATTTGTAATGTGGCAGTTTTTTCAAATATAAATTATTTTTTCACTAATCACGAACTAAACAAACACTCAGTAAACACTCTGCACAAAACACGATATACGAATTTGTTTCGTGTATCAGTTGACAAAAGCAAACTCAGTAGATTAGGTAACAGACAACTTTTTTTTTTTTTAAATTTGATATGACTTGAAGTCAAATCCTTTTAAGCCGTACGAATTGTTTTATTGATTTAAAATTTGGATATTAAAAATAATAAAACACTGTTGGTAACGCGATTTTTGTTTGACTGATGTAATGACGTGGAAACTGATGCATTTTATCTCGCGTGCCGAAACTAATACAAAAGAAACGCGAGTTTCGGAACGCGACATTAAACTCCTCCAACTATGTATTCTGTGCTCCAACGCACACACGCACATTGTTTTGATAGATATGATCTTTGACGTTAGGAACACACCTACATTGCTTAGACAACAGTGAGTGCTTGTAATTTAATATGAACTTTATACCATAGCAATAAAGCTCAAATTGACTACGTTTTAGTTACAAATCATTTGTATGGGAAAAAGAAAAGGGCTATTTTTAGGGTTTTTCCAGCAATAATTCTAATTTTTCTCGCCGTAAAAACCATCCTTGAACTTCAACGAACATTTTAAAAAAAGATTTGGCCAAATTGGTCGAGGCGTTGTTGAGTTATGCGCTTACCAACACATTTTGCGATTCATTTTTATATATATAGATAGATTAACTAAAATTTATTTCAATAAATCAAGGCAATTTACATATCTTTGTAAAAAGTTATATTAAAGTTTAACGTGAACAACAAAAATGTACCCGAAAACGATCTATACACAGTTTGGTGTGGTTTGTTACCTTTATGGATTTACGACATCTATACTAATATTATAAAGAGGAAAGATTTGATTGTTAGTTTGTACGCATGTTTGTTTCCATGGAAAAGGCTCTGAAATTAATGGACCGATTTTAAAAATTCTATTATCTACGTGTAAGTACATTATACGGGGATGTAATAGACTATAATTTACGCGTGCGAAGCCACGTCAAAACGGCTAGTTACTTATGAAGTGGAGTGCCAGTGGAAATGTATAATATAGAGTGATCAACATAAACCTATTAAACCTATGAATATTTATTTCTATCATAAGTCATTTGGTTTCTAGAGGACATGTTTGTTTTTATAAATTGTCTCATGTAGTTCACCTGGTGTGGTCCATGCCCAGGAAAACGATGTGCAACATTAGCGGCACGTGGATAGACCAGTCCAGCTCGACGCCGTCCAAGACTACGTCGCATAGCAGCATCACAGCTACATTACATCTATCGACATAACAAAGATTGTACTTATCTTGTTTATATAGATTGAACCTTCTTCGTTTTCATTGCGAATACTATGATCATCAGTTTGTATTTAATATGTATAATTCACTACAATTATTAATAAATACCAATCTAGGACAAAGTAAACAAAGTCGCTTCCCGTTGTCTGTAAACAGAGATGTTTTAAACTGTACAATGGATTTTAATACGGTTTTTATCAATATACAGAGTGGTTCAAGAGGAAGTTTAATATGTATCATACAAGACCATTTGGGCAAAGCCACTGTTGGAAAGCTAGTATATTATAAATTAATAATAACTAGCTTTCTGCCAGCGGCTACGCCAGAGTGGTCTTGTATTATACTCAAAAACAAAAGAGTCAGACAACGGAAAGTGACTTTGTTTTATACAATGTATTGATTAATATTTTAAAGACAACAATGCATGGACATATAAGCCAAATTTTATTCTTTGCATATCTTGTAGGTTCGTTATGTTAATATCCGCATTGATTGTGATACGTTTTCGTATTTGTCATTTAAAAAAATCTAAGCTTTTTCGTTTTTTTAGTTTCTAGGAATATTCTTCTTATTGGAAAAATGTCGTCGTCAATACTTCGTAGGTAGAAAAAGATGAAAGACGCAAAAGCATTTCTAATAAACTTCCGCTAACCAGTCGAGATCTCCTTCTACAATATATTTATTATTAGCCTTTAAAAATATGGAGTGGGATTGGAGTAGGGACATTTTCATTTTGTTAGCTTCCGTGCGGCGCTTACAGTTTATTAGATTTCGACGTCAACAATATACTGAATTTCAATCTGTATCTGCTAGAGATTTAAAATGTTCATATCTCAATGAATTATTAAAATGTTTATCCTTTCATATAACATATATAAATTGGCGTGATTTATAATTAAAATTTTTTTTTTTTTCAAAATACATAATTTCGTATAATGACTATTTTACTTTATATGATAAGGTTCACGTCAACCTGTAGTGGCGGCTAGTGTTACATTTTATGTACAGTACTATCACTAGTATTGCCTACGACATTTTGATCGATTGCTTTTGTCACGGCCGATCCTTTTATCTGTAAAGTTATTTTTATTGATTATCTATTAAATTATATTCTAACACAGGGCCAGTATGACGTTGTAAACAAAAGTATACTGCGAATAAATTTCGATTTTTCGTTTCGCACTCGTATGGGCTACATAAAATGAAGCCCAAGAAGTTTTTATTTTAAAGAACTGCTGTAATTTAACGACTGTGACTATTTTCTTTCCTTATTCCCAAAATAAGTAAAGCTATCGCAGATCTATCGTCAAAAAAGATCTCTTGCATCACGTCTGAGTTTTCGTTAAGAATTGAGACAGATTGATATAGTTATCGTAAATATAGATACAATATGAACATTGATGTGCACTCAAAACGCTACGATATTACGTTGTACTCGAATTTTATGGTTAAAATAAATATTTAAAAACACTATCGGTCAATTAAATATAATATAATGCATATATTTGAAAAGGTTTTTTTTCACAAATCGAAAGACAGGATATTTTATATTATCATTTGAATCAGTTTTCTGGAAACGCGTTGTGTTTCGAAACATATTACTCAAAAATATATTTTATGCTATGTTTTTACACAACAAGATTCACAATCTGGCCATACGTATTGGACAACACAAACATTCTTTTCGAAATGATAATCAATAACACTTTTGGTAAAAGAAATGTCGATGGGAGGCTGAAAGAGAGAATTTCCCAACGAGGCTGAATTGTCAATCTGGCAGACAGTATGGACGACTGCAAGGTTTACATGCAATTATAAATATAGATCTTGCAGATTGATTTTAACAACGTGATATTATAGGAAAGAAACTTTACATATATTTGTATAAAAAGAAACCGTAATGTTTCATAAAAAAAATTATCGAACAAATTAAAAAAATCATGTTTATCTGTGATATGTTTATATATAATTATGATAAAAATAATATTGTGATTAGCAAATCGGGCAAGCTCGTCCTACCGTAGATCTCATCTATGTCCTTAGCCTAGATCGAGGTTAAGAGTGGGCCCATTGTAAATAAATAATAATAATAACTCGCTAGAATAAAACTTTTTTAAACCAAAAAGTAGTTGGCTTATTGTTTACTTTGTTAGGATGATCATATAATTGATAATTTTCAAAGAAGAATCTTTAAGTGTGTAAGGTGTAAGGTGAAGGATTTTTGGCTAGTATTAACAAGCAAGTTGTAAAATCTAAATAGGTACTATATTTTTATATTTGATTGTAACGTGTAAGATAATGAGTTATATTACCTGTGGAAGCCTGATATCGGTTGACTGCTGTCTGGCAGGTACTCAGTGAGGAGGGCGAAGAACCCGCCGTATTCGGGCATCGGCAGAGGTCTCGGCTGCGGCACTTCCGCGCGCACCTCCTGCGGCGTTGCCGGCGCACTGCCAGTTGGCGTCACAGCTTCACCGCACATACCCGTCTATAACAGGGTTCCCAATCATATAAGATAAAGAAACATCCACTAAAAGCACCCATCATGTTACATTTTACGGAACCTCATATTAAATGGTTACTATCAACTATCTGTATAAAACAAAGGCACTTCCCGTTGTCTGTATGATGAGATCTCATAAACTACACAACGGATTTTAATGCGAATCCAGAGGAAGGGTAATATAGGACCACGTGGGCGAAGCCGCTAGTGGAAAGATAGAAATTTATAAGAAAAGTAATTTATAATAACTTTTATGTTACGTTTAGAGGGGAATAAAGTTTTTAAGTTATTAATTAACAATATGCGATGACGGAGAATTTGAAAAATACAGGCAGTTTTTGGCACGGCTCTGTTGGCCTACTGTCTTGATTAATTCCTATGGGCACTTCAGATAATTATGTGCATCTTACTGAAGACTGTAGTTTTCAATATAAAAATCACAAAAATATTTCATCATCGGTTTTGTTTATTTAAATATAAACTTATTTTTCATTCAAAATAAACTGAACACGTAAATTTTCAAATGAATATTATTTTCTGTTGAGCGTCCAATGCGACCCAGTGCCCTAATCACCCTTACCCCAAGTAGAACAGATGGTACATCACTACATACCGAAAATATTCGATTCGATTGATCTTATCTCAGCATCTGACCCCTTTAATATGTAATGAGGTCAGCCGTTACGACTGCATTATTAGGACATTTTTGTCCGGTAGAAAGTATGTTTCTTAATTTAAACAAAAAAGATGTGCAATTAATTATCTTTAGCTGTCAGTGGATACCACTTGGTTTATAATGCTATGAATGTGTTAATCTACTTATTTGTTTTATCTTAATTTTCTAAAAAGCTTTGCCTAAATTAATAGTTTTTAATTTATACAAATTAAAAAAGATATTATCCACCCCTTTGACCCTCAACATGCAAATACAAAACTTAAAGTTGCATAAAAAGTGCTTACAACTTGGTGAGAATAAAGTACGAACGCTTTCTGTCATTGTTGACCTAATGCTCTTACGTCAAAGTAGACAATGAGTTGAAATCTATATATTTATATCGTCTAATTGATATTTAAAATAGTCATACTTTAGTAGCTAATTTATTTATTATTGTAAACATTAATAGGCGTTAGAAAAATAATTCACAATTTCGATAACAATCTTTAAATACCAAGGTTATAGGATAGGATTCTAAACAAATTTTGGCAATATACTCGTATATACATATTAATATATCGACTCAATAAAAGCCAAAAGGACGACTCTAGGGGACTTGAAGTTTAACTTTCGTGAGGGTTGAATGTAATAAGATGAAATTATTCTTAAACCTGTATGGCTAAGATTAATATACAAAAAAAAAAAACTAATATCAATCCAACATAAATAAATTATTTGAAAAAGTAAATTATATTCTTGAGTCAACACTCTAGACCAAATCGTACACTTATAATTTATAATCAAAAATTACAAAATTACTTCTTCCCTTTTTTGCAGTTCAAATTAAAAATATAAACCACTATGGATATAATAAAAATAAACAAACAATAAATTAAATAATCTAAATATTTTTTAATAATAATTTAATACATACAAACGTTTCCATATGATAAAATTTATCTACTATCCATGAAAATTAGGAGTACTAATAACTATTAAATGCGAAAGTAACGTATGTTGCCTTTTTATTTATGTGCGTGTTATTTTATATATTCGATAAGACAGTATAGATATGATTTACGCGGAGAGAATTATCGAACCGAGTTTGGGCAATCTCTTAACTAATATTGAGTGATTTTCACAAGTTATAGTTGAGAGCCTAGAGCTCATGCAATCGGTGTCTAAGAGGCCTCCTAGCTAAATGAAATTACAAATCATCCACCCCTCAAGCCTCTACACAATGCCCCCATTTTTTTCTCGGTTTCTTACCGCTCCCTTTTATAGGCCTAAAGGGGGCGTTATCGCCCACTTTGAGAAAGGCTGGTCTAGAGTATTATCACAGAATATACTTTGTGGTATTATGTTCCTTGGTAGTCGCAGTATTTAAATGAATTCAAAATTATGTAAGAGTTATTTTGTATAAATAATTTTGTTATTAGTAACATTATGACCTTGATATTAGTTTGTGTTCATAATAGACATTTACTTTCCAACTGAGTGTTAAGATTTGTATTTAAGGTATATTGAGTCATTTTACTCCTTACTTTTTTAACCGATAGTGCCGTCTTTAAGTATTGTTTTATTTTGCAAGGCGTTATCTATTGTATTGTTGATCGAAGGGTTTTCACTATTTACCTACATAGGTTAGATTAGTTTATATTTAATAATAACAAAACTTTACCGGCGTGGCGTCACCGTCAGAGGGCGGTGCAGGTTCGATGTCAGCGGGGGGCGTGGCGCAGGCCGGCGCAGACGCACGCTTGTCCGGCACACGGACACCTGGGGTCTCTGGTGCTTTGGTACCGCTGCATCAACAAGATAATATATCTACATAACGACACATGGTTTATAAATAGCGAGCCACGCTCTATTAATAAGGACTTATTTGACATTGAACCAAACAGACCATGGTCTAGGACGGCAGACTGTGAGAGCGAGAGCACTAGCATTTTTAAGAATTTTCTTAATGTCCTCATAAAATCACTGGTAGATTTTGTTTTGAAAGAAGTAGTAAATTTTTTGCTTTTTTTTTAATGCTAATGCACCGAATACTTAACGACATACATAACGATTCATATTCTAGGGCAAACCAGAAGAATTAATTGACGCTGGTCTAAGGCGCTCCTAGCTCATTTCGTCTTTAATATTTGTGTTAAGTAGATTCATCGTACCTTTACTTCATTTGCGAAGCAGTATAAGGCATAATTTGCGGTAGTTGACCTCATGTACATGGGAAAGATAAAAGAGTAAACAAATCTTCCTTGGTAAGAAAATCGGATATCTATCGAATTTCCTCTAATCTTGTATTACGGTTGGGCAAGATTAAAATTTTATTATGAATACGCATTACTATAATGCGGAGGGGTAATCGCTTAAGGGCGCACCCTTCAAGTCGAACTGGTGATGTATTGCCGTCCCGCCGTTGTCACTAAGAAAGAACTTGCGTAGGAATCGGCGGTTGGACCAAGGTCGCAATGTGTTTGCATTTCGCCCGCCGACCCATCGATATAAGTATACTACAAAATACTCTATATACAAATAAAATTATTCTATATACATTTCATTTTAAAATATATCACATTTAAATTTACATATTATGTTGATGATATTTATCGGTTTAGTGGGTTATTCGAATACTGTCATTGAACTATGCATTGTTTCCTCATCATTGAGGTAAGCTAAATATTCCAAAGATGTCAGAGATACAGTATAAGAAATACAATAAAAAGAACTACCTAAAAGCAACGCCTTTTCAAAATTGTGAATATGACACATTTATGGTCGGCTACACTTAAAGAGACTCCATTATCCCCGTCATATCTTAAAAAAATAATAATTTTAAACTATCTTTTTATGCGAAATAGACAGAAATCATCGCGTACAACAAGATTGTTTTAGCTTTAATGTTATTTTTTAAGCTTTTGTCTATGATTTTACTTTCGAGCATTTTGACGAAATCAATGCAAAGAAATAAAAGTAAATATAATTTTTGAATTGTGGTAAGATCTCTCCATTTTTAATATATATCTCAAGTGACGCAGCAAGTACCTTAGTTTCAAATGTCGCCATTAAACTTACAAAAGATATTGGCAGTTCTAGTAAACGAAATCTTTCAGAGATAAAAAAGTATGGTCTGTTAAAAGGGTTCGCGATCAATACCTAGACAGTATTTAAGAATGACTTTTTCATTTAATTTATATTTTTATTGAATACATTTTATCTTTTACGGTCTGTTTCCGAATTAAGAAAAGTACAAAATCTATTCTATTCTATTCTCAATAACTTGTTTTTTTCAGTCATAGTTTTATCAAATTGCTGTCAACTGATCATAAAACAATTAGTACAACAGCGAAATTAAAAATATGCATATAAGCATAAGCAAAGACGGTACTGGAGGCGTATTTTGTTTGATTAAGTTATATCTACGTATCGAAAGTTCGAGATACATAAAAGTCAGCTAAGTGTTTAGGGTTACTTATACACTGTTGAAAAGGGACAAATAACGCAACAATCGCCTTTTTTTTAGCTAAAATTAGAATATAAATTGAAACCACTTTTCATTATAACATCTAGTTAAGTAAGCAAACGAAAATTTAATATTTTGATAGTAATAACTGCAAGCAATCACATTATAGATAATTATAGAACTAAAAGCAGCAAACGATCCGGTGTGAAGATAAAAATAGATAGACAATTATATTAAGTGTAATCTACTTTGAATGTAACTTTTAAATTATTAAGTTTTCATATCGAGTGGAAAATTAGATCGTTTTGGATAATATGATTGCTATTAACAGGTTTACAAGAACAGAAAACATATCATCGTCATCAGCCTTATTTCCCCATTGCAGGGGCTGAGGCCTTCCTTATGGATGGAGGAGGATGGAGCATGACCCTTCACGCTGACCAATGCAGATGGGAGGGTGTTAACGACAAATGCAGCCGGTACCAACGGCTTATCGTGCCATCCAAAGCACAGAGTAACTCGAGATATTAATTTTTTTGTCACCCATCCTGTGATCTCATCGTTTACATCGTTATTTTATTTTTGGAATCAATAAGAAAAAGAAGACCGGCCAAGTGCAAACATCTAGCTAAAATGTTATAATAATCTCCGTCAGCAAAATATCACTTTGTTTTGCTGGCAGAGGGGTCACACATTTTACCACCTTGAAAGTATATTTTAAATAGCTAGGACGGTCAAAACGCGTCCATAATTTAGGCCTAGCTAAGTTGCAACTCTGGAAACTAACAAATTCTCATGGTAATCAACATAATAGCAACGAACGGACTATCAACAATTCTTAAAAAGAACAAAGTTTAAAAATAAATAAAAACATAATAAAAACAAACAAATAAAGAAAGGGATAAAATTAATTTCATTTTAAAATTGTTCTATATGAAAATCTGCTTATAATAATGTGACTCAGACTTATTTTAGGTTGATGTCCAATTAAGTTCTTTTTTACTTTAATTAAAACAGATTTCGTTAAAGCTTGATACTGGATTTATTAAGTTGGTTACACATTATTTAAGTCAGTTACCCAAAAGCAGTCCTGCATGTAAATCAATGAATTTTAAACATGTAACTCTCTATGCATCATTATAATCCTAGGCAAGCGCCTAGTTTGCCTATATGGAGGATTACTCGTAAATTAACAGAATGATAAGTGAACATTATAAGGGTTTAGTTAGCCACGATTAAGCAGCCTTAGTTCAAGGTTTTTTAAGTCTGAAGGAGTGAGTGCGATGTTATGAAATCGATTTATTTGCGTACAATCTGTATATATTTCGTCCCGTTCTGAAATTGAAAATTAATGACTATTTCAAATTCATCGAGGTTCAATGAATTGTAGTCGCATTAGCGCAGTCAAAGGAACGCCAAATGAGGTTATAATGCGGAGGGGAAACGACGCCCTATAATAATAAATAAGCAAACAACAGTTCTTCGACTGCGCACTTGTAGTCAGTCAGGGATCTGAACGATTTGCTTTGTTTAGGTATAACTGGTTACAAAACTTTAATGTAATAGCTATTTGAGTGCATATTCACTGGATTCGTACATATAGGCACTAATATTATAAGAGGACATCTTCTATGTAGCAATGATATTGCTTAGAAATTGCGTTTTCTCATAGATAACAATCGAAGTCGCGGTAAAAATATTAGTTTATAACAATAAAGAAAATAATGAAAAATTGTAAAAGAAAAACTTACTGCATATCTATAGATGTGGACTACTTTCAATGTTCTAATAAATCGCTCACTCGGATACCGTTATATGAGACCCTTAACGGCCCTTAACGGTCGATTTCAATTACTTACCACGTTAATTTCGTCCCAAACAGCATCCGTTAATTCCAAATGATAAAACAGAATTGTAGTTACGGATTTATGTACTGTCGAGATTAGCTATTAGAAAGAGATAAGAGTTCAGAAACCCTATTTTTGAATCGTTCGTTTCGAGTGTTAGTTTTTTTTCTATTATTTTTTATTCTATATAAGAAAATTATAATTTATATTGGTTCGAGTACAATAAGTGGTGTCAAAACTAGGTTAACATTGGAGGCAAATAACAGATTAAACCTAATTATATAAAAAAAAATTTAATTCATAACTTAAACGCAAATATTTTCAAAACTACTTTTTTATCATGTTATAATTTTTTACTTCATAAAACCTAAAACAATCAAAGTAATTTTTTCGTATCAGGTATGTAGTGTGACATTGTGCACAATGTCACTTTGTGCGTAATTGATTTTTTGCTAAAATTTGTTTCTGAGAAAATGACATTTTTCGAAAATTAATATCTGCGAAAGTGTATTTTTTCATGAGATGAGATTTTGATATAATAACGTACCACGGCAAAACCTATGTTAATAGTACCAACATTTATAATACAATAATCAGTGTCATAAGACTTATGTATGACTTATGTTATATACCGCAACAGGATTTCAAACGAGTAAGTAAAAAATATACATATTAAACTCACCCGGCCTTAGCGGGATCTTCACCGCTGTGTCTCTTTGTGTGGATAGTGCCTTTTTCTACAGGTGCCAGATCTCCAGCGCGCCCGGTTGCATCCTGTACAACATAATGGTATATATTAGGTCTCGTTATGGACGTCCATGGGTACGAATTAGCCAGTTCTCGACGACAGTGGTCAGATTGCTGATTTCAATTTATATGTTTAATATGAGTTCTCGAGCGTGTAATATTTATATTTAATCACTTGTTTTTTAATCATAATGATTTAAATGTTGATAACTTTTTAAAATTAGTTAAAACACCAATATGCCGTCTATCGCGACAGTGTCCTTTAAGTTGGATCAAATTCAAATAAAATATAATAATCTGATACTGGCTGATAATATTCTTTTACATGGGTGAAAAGATTTCTTAAATCTATCCAGTAGTTTTTATTTTATAGATTAAAACAACACTGAATACTTCGTTCTTAAAATTAGTATAGGTTTTATTGTTTGTTTCCGCGACTTTGCCCGCGCAAATTATAGCAAACTAGCTGTTTTGTATTATAGCCTATATACTATCTATCACCCACGTATGATGTAGTTTCGGAGCTTATTCGATGAGAACAAACGAACGAAGTATATTTCCTCTTTACATTTTTACTATAGCTGTCATTAGTGCATAATGTACCTACTCGAAGGTGAAAGAATTTTTAAAATCGGTCGATTCAGATAGATTCAGAGCCCCTTACCGAGAACAGCACCGAATCAAAGTACTTTTAATGATTATTTCTTGACATATTTTAAGCATGACAAATCGCTGATAATATTTCTTGGCCTCCAAGAAATATTTTTTGTGATCAAATTGAGCATGTTGTATAAACTGACAACCATCTAAGAATAAACAGTTATAAATGTCACGAAAGTGATAGACGTATGTAAAGAGAGTGGCACTTTTGGCATTCAGTTTTCTTTGTGTACTCCGCAATTGATCTAGCGTGAATAATATAGGAAGATTGACAAGTTTTTTAATATTTTTTGTATAGAACAAAGTAAGATGCTTTTACAAAGTGCAACGGTTTACGGTACATATATTATGTACCTAAATAAATACTTTTACATATGTATATTATTTGTAAAAAAATAATTTTACGTCATACAGCTTTAGTGTCGTTTTTTCAACAAAATACTGAGGTAACACAGCGAAGCTTACTGCATGATTAGGAAACTAATTTAGGTTTACACACGATTTGAAAGCACCGTGAACCCTATACTAAGTACCTACTCATTTATCCAGATAATGTGTAGAGAGAAGTGTTCCGCGTTAGCCGGGGTAACAAATGACACAGAACGCCGCAGACAGATGGGTGTTTTGTAACTTTCATAACATAAGCTTATATAACTAACACTTAATTTGCGAATATGTCAGGCTACGTGAGAGGAATCCACATGAGCATAAATCATTTAACAACCATTAATATAGTGCTATACGTTAGGACTTTGTGCATTGGGCATTTTAGAAATATCTAATAAGAGGAAATATTGTTTGTTTGTTTTCATTCAATAGGCTCCAGAACAATACTGCGGAATAATACCGGATCGATTTTTTTAAATTATTTCACCTACCCGTAGCTACAACATACACGAGTAACATAGGTTTTATTTTATACAGGCGAAGTCACGGCAAAACAGTAAGTTTTTCATAAAAGAAAATCAATAAATAGTCACTTCAGTTTGTTTGGATGTGTTTTCTATTCAATATTTCTAGTTCAATCCGGAATCAAATTGGATACGAGTCCGTAGCTCGGTGACCACAGAAAACTTTGCAATATGTGAAAATGGATTCGCCTCGATCTATATTGCCAACGATAGTCCGACCGGAAATGGGTGTTGGATTGACATGTGAATGGCAAAGCCAACAACACAACATTTAAGTGTACTTTTACTTAATAGATATATGTATAGGTTACCTTAAAAAGTGAGTTTTCGACATAAAGCACTTTATAGCATTTTGCGAAAAATATTTAAGTATGTAGGTACCGTATTTAAAAAATATATTCTTAGTGTTCTGTCTGTGTGTTATTTAACATATTACACTAAACATTTCTCCTATAAAATCGGTCCGGTAGATTCAGAGCCACCTTCTATTAATTTAGAAGTTTGATTTGAATTCGAAAACGAGATGTGATGTGTGACTTATCACTCTTAAAACAGTAGAATAACAATAATATAATGTATTAGGTCCAGTAGCTATGTTATTGTGTTATGGTAATCAAAAACTAAGTATCAGCACCCGAAGATGCGGAAGTTCATTATCTAAATTGTCCCGCGGTCCGTTCCTTTTTTGGGTTATGTATCCTATTAATATTATAAATGTGAAAGTTTCTTTGTTTGAATGTATGGATGTTTGTCCGTCAATTACGCCGAAATTTTCATGAAATTTGGTATACAGATAGGGTATTATCTGACTTAGATAATAGGATACTTTTTAACCCACTAAACATTTCCCTAGGGTCCACGAAGGCGAAGCAACTGGCCAAAGCTAGTTTATTATAGATTACAGGAAAACCTATTGGAAGTCTATGATCTATAGAAGAAAGATTTGATTATTTCAATGAATAGGCTCCGAAAGTACTGGACCGATTTTCCAAATTCTTTCACCAATGGGAAGCTACATTAATATTTGAGAGAAACAACACATTTCATCCATTAACATTCGGGCCAGCCAAAGTTAAACGTATCACCTAGTTATTAAGAACAAGAAGATGGTAACTTTATTTAATTAAATGTAGTAGTAAGTTAGCTATTACTCGCTTTTTTACGCGATGGGATTTAGGGTACCATAGTCATAACGGTTGTATAGATTTACATAAATTAAAATTTAATCATCATCTTTTTTTAATATAATCTTATCAGAATTATATGTTCATATCTCTATAAATTACAGAAATATTGTATTTGTCGTTGGAGATAATTAAGTTTATTAATACTAGTAGTATATATATTAGTATCTTCTCATGCCATCCTTAAATTTATACGACATAAAAAAGAATACTCAACGACATAAATACTATCATGATAAAAATAAATAATATTCAATATATCAAGAGGTAGGGAAGTGCTCTTACCACTGAGTGAAGGATCTATTACTCAATGTAAGCCAATCAAAATCAAACGGATCAGCCTGTCAATAGACGTACTACCCAACTAAAGGTAAGGCTCACTAACGCTCGAGTGAAGATTCACTAGTTTGCGTATCGGTGACTATAGCGAAATTTAATTTATAACAATAACGGTTCTTTGTATGCCATTAGGCTGAAACCTTGGAAGAACTGAAAACCATGTTCAATGATCTCAGTAGTGATTCTTAAAGAGTGGGTTTTAAGATGAACATGGCATAGACAAAAATCATGCTAAATGCGTATGTTGTATTCACTCCAGACAAAATTGGAAATAAATTTTGGAATCATTTTTTCTTGCGCATTAGGGGACCCCGTGCATAAGGGGAGGCCTCGCTGTGGCCTGTCCAAGAAAATATTTTTTAAATCAGTTTAAACGTTACGCTCAAAGATAAAAATCGCTCACTGTGTGGAAAATAGGTTCACAATATATTATGCAAGAAAAAGATTTTTTTTTACATTTACAAAAAAGATTTATCGAACCACAGCGAGGCCGCCAAATGCGCAGGTCTCCTAAAGGCTAATCCGGTACAGGAGCCACGTTATACCTGTGAGCCGGTGCCGGGCGTATCGCTGTGTCCGGAGGTCGCTTTACGCATGGACGTGAGCCGGTAGAAGGGCGGCGTCTCCGTGCGTTCGATCAGACAGTTGAGGGTCTCTACCGTCTGCAGCTCCGTCATCATCTCATCCAGTAGACGCTCCGGCCGAGACCGCGCTAGGTATAACACCACACGTTTCGCCTGACAAAGGTACATCGATTATAGGTGTATATCAAATAACTTATGCAAACTGCCATACGACTCTGGAATGCCCTACCGTTTTCAATAACCTTATAACCCTGTATGTCTATATATTTATGTAAATATTTAATTTTATCAAAACTTTTGTTTGTTTTATATATTTGTTGCGCCGAAAGTGCTTTCTATTAGACACCTTTACTGGTCGACTGATAGAGAATTCTGTATGGCATTAAGTCCGCTCTTTGCTGTATTGTCGTATAATCTCGAGCTCCTCCGCACTTAGAAAGGCCCACCAATGCGCCTGGGCACGCTTGGTGAGCTATGGTCTGTTCTCTCAATTTGAATTCATCCATAGCTAAGACCTATGCAGTCTTAGACTGATGTTGTTTAGACTGATGATGATGATTTATTCAGAGACGTTTTCTCCCATACAACTAAGAGGTAAAAATAAATATAAGCTAGTAAAAATATAGTTGTTAATTTAATGCCACGTATTAAGTTAGTTTGGATTGTTAATACGTGCATATTTATCTGAATGAAAATTATGTTAAAATTAATAAAAATAAGAACATTTGCGACATCTCTTTAAGATTTTAAGATTAAGCGATAATTATTGGTAACGTTGTTTAATTCACTTATTTTCTTTAATGTAAATAATTATAACTTACGTATGGTAAAAGTTCGTTTGGCGCCATGCCGGATACAATGATCAGGTAACGAATGATAACTTTCAGATTGTTCGGCCAGCAGGCGCACAGTGTCGACCATAGTTCTTCAATCTCCTTTGGGTGGTTGTCAGAGAACTGTTCATACAATAATAAACGATAATAATTATTAATGATAATGAGTTGCAACTGGAACGATTCTATTATTCTAACTGGTACCGACAATATGTTACGAGTATTTTAATATCTCCGATTATATTTAAATTTGGTACATATGTATCAGTTAACTAAAACCTACTACTGGCTCTCTACTAGAAGAATATTCTTATCCCTTTCCAGGAATAGATAACAATCAAATTGTTATCAAAGGGTTTTTGAGCCTTTTATAATTTTAATGGAAGACGCATATTTGTAACACGCGTGTGGCTGTTTTGCGTTCTTTCTGACATTAATTTCTTTGGAGTGATATAGTATTTATAAGTTAAAATGCTTAGTGTACGAATAAGTAGTGAGATTTGTCAATACAATAGGCACCTATGACATTTTAGTGTTCGGTTTCGTATGGGATGTTCTTATCACGTTTTATTATGTAGGAAAAGAATAGGTAATAATTTTCCTTCAAATGATTCTATAATGTAGCAATAGGGCTGTGAGTAATAACGGCACTTGCCCCGGGAATTATTCATAATAAAAATATATTTTGAAATTAATATATATTAAGCAACGTTGAAACGGATATGTTTTCAAATTCCTTAGATAAAAAAATTAAAAAAGACATACAAAATCCGACCTCTAGAAGTGAAGGTAACTATCAAGTTTTTTGTCTAAGTTAGAGAAAAATGAAGCAATAACATAAAAAAAAGTTAAGGATATTGGTGTTCACAAACGACTAAATACGCAGCGTTAGCGCAACCTTTATGGACTTATATCATGTAGAAAAAGCGCTAAGATATATCTAGGTGTGGGGCTGGGGTACCTAGTAGGTAATACTCGCAATAACATAATATTATATTAGTAAATTAGCTGGTTTCCCGTGACGTTGCGCGCTTAAACTATAAATCTACGTCATCTGCGTATAATGTAGCTTCCCATAGGTGAAGGAAAAAAAATAGGTTCAGTAGTTTCGAAACCTATTCAATGGAAACAAGCAATCAAATCTTTCCTCAGTATAATATCGGTATAGATAACAACAATACTATACAATGCATTTTATTATTGATCCACATGAGGGATATATGAAATTACAACGTCTTTATTCACAACGCATCGGAATCATATGTCGGATCAGACAAGAGCAGCTTCCGACGTTCGTGAATTAGTATACACTGATCTGGAAACGTATACAATAATGAATTTTAAAACTAATATAAACTAATTCCCGGACGGGTCAATGTAGAAAGTGAACTTTCCTATATTGTCTCGGGTCTGGGTGTTGTGGTACCTTCGTTGTCTCAGATACTCCACAATATGAGGGCTTTAACTACTCATCTTGGAATCTGAGCAATGTATGTGATGTTGTCTATTATCAAAAAATAATAATATAAATTATATAGTGCAAAATTAAATATATGTACATAGTTTATAATTTGGTTTTATTTTTAGAGATTATCTAATAAACTAACTAAAAGAACGAAAACCGGTTATGAAGTAATAATTAGCTTCTTTTATCTATTTTTGCATAGAATCATTCCTAGTTACATCAAAGCAACAGAAAATAAATAACGGAAAGAACGGGCTCGGCTAGTATCTGCTCGGTCCGGTAAAAACAATTAATAACAAAATCGTCATATCATTTATGTCTTATTAAACATCTATTCAAAATCCTTTATATCAGATATGGTTACGATAACGGCACTGTTTATTTGCTAGAGATATGTGGCTTTCGGATATACGTGCGGTAATTTCTAGATTTCATGCAGACTGTTTGACATTACATGCCGTGCTCTTAGTTATAGGTAGACTAGACATGCAGGCTCAAGAGATAGAGGCAATTTGAACAATTAAAGCCAGACAGCAATATTCACATTTAACAGAATAACATTTCTCGGAGTTAGCTGGTACAAAATAACTGGGGTTCTACTCTATTTCTCCGAAAACGAAATTCCGTATAATTTGAAATGGTCATTACGAGACCCATTAAAGTAATCTTTTTTAAGAATTTATGGCGCCACGGGGGTACCGCCTGATAATGTCCCCGTTGCGCAGATAATCTGCACAGATAAATATTTTACCAAAATTACAAAAAAACATGAAACCAGTATTCTGCACATTATTACGTTTCAAAAAGAATCAGTGTTTCATACTTTCATTTCCGGCTGTTATAATTCGGCTTCATTGCAGTGAAGCTTTAAGGACCATTGTTTTACATTAAAAATATTAAAATAAGTTTATTTTAGTAGGTACCGGTATCGGAGGTTTCACATACATAAATGCGGACACGTGACGCGCTCGGTGTGCCCGGTTAGTTTGCTTACCTCAAGGTCACACAAACAACCGCACCCGATAATCACGGTATGCCACTGACATTATATACAAGGGCTGTCGAACTACACTATATTATGGTATTACTTGATTACCACTAATTCGTCGAGTTACAATGCTTCTTTGACAGACTATTAAACTGAGATGATCGAAAAGCTGATAATAAGTTAGCTTGTCATACAGAGCTAGTGGTAGTAGAACAAGTTCAGCTTATTTTATTATAGGCCTAAAAATTAAAAAAAAAAAATACATTTATATAGGTGTTATGAATACTTAAATAAAAAACAAATGCCTTAAACATTTACACGACATGTTAATTATTAATCATCAATACTTTAAAGAGGAAAGATTTGACTATTTGGTTGCATCGAATAGGCTCCGAAAATACTTACTGGACCGAGTTTAAATATTCTTTCACCTACGGGTAGCTTAATCATACAGAGTTGACGTAGGCTAAGTAATTTACGTTAACGTTATAATTTACGTGTGCGAAGTCGCGAAAAAACAGCTAGTATACAATAAGCAGAAACATATCTCTATGAAAGAATATGATTATCATCGAAAAAAAAAAACAGTAAATTAACACTGGTAATCATAAAGAATGCCATAATAAAGATTCGAGACTAATAAGTACAGGAAAAACTAGGACAACACGACCGAAACAAATATTGTTTTATTTCTGGACGTAATGTATCCACATTTTGATCTAGTACCAATTTTTAGATCAGTACCTCACATAAATGATCAACGGAATTTTGAATCTATGGAGAATCTCATGTCGTTTTGTACTATACTTTTTAAAATTGGGCCATAAACTAGATAAAAATTCATCAACAGATAATATATAACAAAACAATATTGCGATATTATCGTGAACAAAGTCAGTCCAATATATATATATATATATATAGCAAAAAAAAAAAAATTACGATAGGGATGATTTCAAAGATATCTAAGCTACGCGTATGAGGTTACAGTGATTGAGCGATGGGTGGAACAAACTCATCCAATGGCGACAGATAGCTATAATCGATGACTATTGTTATGTATCCAATCCAAAGATGGATCTATCACGTGGCCTGCATGTTCACTGTTGTTCAGCTGTTAACAATAATTGTCATAGCGTATTAGGTAATTTCATTAGAACTGACGTCGATTATTTTTAACCGACTTATAAACCGTAAAGGTTATATATTCGACGGCGATGTATTTTTTTTAAATGCATGTTCAACGATATTTTCGTCAATTGTTGTAAAAAAATGTATACTTACGAATTAAATGTGACCTCTTGGTGTTAAGGCGACTTACTTATGTAGTTTCTATAGTTTCGCATAATACAGGATGGCATTTTAAAAATTATCATGGTACGTAAATGCACGCAATCAACGCTTTCGCCTGAATGTGCTCAGATAAATTAGGATAGTTTTAAGGTGACACTATTTGAATTCGAGTAACTTATCTACCCTTCAACCCTTTTTTACTCTTTAAAATATAGATTATTGCAGAAAATTATGTCGAGCAAATAAACAAAATCTCAAATGCAAAGATTTTCACTATGTTAAATATTTTTAGTGTTACCTCTTAGATTATATATTTTCCAGATGCCATGTCAGTACCAAAAAAGTGTATGCCACTAATATCTGCCAAAACAAACGTTTTGGTGGGTCTTGTCGACAGAATCTCAATTATACTCACAAGAACGATAATATTTTGAGCCTCAATTATACTCACAAGAAAGATTGTAAAATACATTGTAAAATAGATCATAATAATAAGTTAACATAGTACATAAGAAACCAAATCAATTCAAATTTACCGCCATTTTCGGGGTAATCGTTTTCCACTATTATCACTCATGTTACTCGCAGTGACAGTGATGTTCTTGACGATAACATTGAAGTTTTACATACGCTCCTCAGTGATACAAGATGCTATAAAGCATTATATGATTATATAAAAAATATTAATTTAACTATTTAGTGCATGGATTTATCTTTCCTTGTTTTATAATGAACTGTTTGTAAGATAATAAGTTTGGCAAAAAGGGCAAGAACCCAGTGCCGTTAAAACATTAAAAAGAAATCGCATAAATGACAACACGCACTTTGCTCACGCACTCACGAATCTCAAATGGCTTCACTATTGTCATTGCGCTTTATAGGGGACACGGAATCTGGATAATAGATAATCTAAGTGTTACCTATTATATAAAAAATATCAATATCACTAAAAGTATGAAATAAAAACTTTTTATAAAAAGTAGAACCGACTTCAAACTTTAAAAAGTGATGAATGATACTTATCTCAAAGAACTAGAAGTGGAAATTCAGGGCCTATTCGTGGTCAAATAAAAATGGTATACTTAACTCTTAAAACTGAGCCAATCGCATCTGTCGGTGGTGGTTTGCAAAACTTAATATGTCATCATAACATAGAGAATACTACAGATAAACATAGTCATTATTTTACTGTTGTTATCTTAAAAAATAAGTCTTAGTAACGAGCCACACAACTGTAATTAGTGGAGCAATCCCTGTGTAATACGCGGATGGTGGTCGTTGAATTGCGGCCCCGATGTTCCGATATTACCTATCCGTACCGCGTGCTCAAACGCAACCTGCGTCGCGATCAAGCTCACCATGATTTAACAGGTCAATTCGGGACACATTTTAATTATACAGTATTTGATCTATCTATTCCGTCATGTGATAAACGAAACAATGGTGTAAGTTATTGTTTAATAAATGCTATGTAAATATTAAGAAAAAGAACCATATTTTTAATTATTCTGCTTAAAATGGTGCAACAGCTCCAGGGGCTGAAGTCTCGACAGAGTTTGATCGCAATCTTACTAAAATCGGTCGGTAACTCATAGTGATCGTAAGATAACAATTATTTCAACTCTTTACAATTAAGTAATTTTTTATTTCCTAGGTATGTACCGA